AGTGCCGCCGTGCATCCCGTGTTTCGTTTTTTCATGTCTTTTTAGATCGCTGGCAGTAGTATAAGGTGAAACAGTACAGCCCTCCTGTATGCAAGGAAAGCGAACAGTGCCGCCGTGCATCCCATGTTTGTTTTTTTCGTGTACTTTTAGAGCTTTGGCAGTAGTATAAGGTCCTGCCGTACAGTCTTCCTGCGTGCAAGGGTAGAGAACACGACGGTCGTGCATACCACGGACGTTCTTTTCATGTGCCCTGCGACTCGCGTAATCAGAGACGGCATCGTCAATGACAGGAGTATCTTCCTCAGCTAAATCATTACCCGCGTAATCAGAGACGGCGTCGTCGATATCAGGAGTATCTTCCTCAGCTAAATCACTACCCGCGTAATTAGAGACGGCGTCGTCGATATCATCTTGCCGATTAGCGCCCGCTTCGCCAAACACATATTGTGGGCCTTCAACATCGGGATTGGCGAAAGGACCTGCAGTTGCGCCGTCAATTCGTTCAAAGAAAGCGTCGAAATCGGCCGTGGTAGACGGCAAATCTTGCATCATTTCGTCTGGATTCAGTTGCCCGAACTCGTCGTCATCTTCCCACCCATCCAAGTCGACATTTGGACCTGTAGCAGTTGGAGGAAACTCTGGGGTTCTCGGCAGCTGAGAGAAGTTTGTAAGCTCCGGTCCAGTACTCTGGTTCTCGACCGTGCTTGTTATGGCGACATTGTCCAAACTTTTCCAGGCTTCCCCTACAGCGTTGGAGGACTGTGCAGCCGTCACACAACCCAGTGCTGACGGTAAGGGCCGCGGCGATTTCTGCTTCTCGACTCTCCGACCTGAAGCGTACGCTTCGGATCGTGCTGGAGAGTTTCTGCGGCCGAAGCGGTCCTGTTCATGCCTTCTTGGAGACCGTGAGTGTCGACGCCGGCTGCGAGATCTACGCCGAGAGTGGTATCCATCGTGTTGAGAGGGGTACGCTTCGTGTCGTATTGGAGATCCTCTGCGGCTGAGACGAGGCTGTTCGTGCCGTCCTGGAGACCGTGAGCGTCGACGCGGACTACGAGATCGAGGTCGGGGGCGGTACTCATCGTAGCGTGCTGAGGAGTCTCTACGCTCGGAGCGGTCTTGCTCATGCCATCTTGGAGACCGCGAACGTCGACGCTAGCTGTGAGATATACGCCGAGGGATATAATCTTCGTGCCGTCCTGGAGACCGTGAGCGTCGACGCGGACTGCGAGATCGAGGTCGGGGGCGGTACTCATCGTAGCGTGCTGAGGAGTCTCTACGCTCGGAGCGGTCTTGCTCATGCCATCTTGGAGACCGTGAACGTCGACGCTGACCGCCAGCTCTGGGTCGAGAGCGCTCCTCTTCGTAGTGTCTTGGAGAGTTTCCGCCTCGAGGGCGGTACACGTCATCTCTGCTTGCCGAGGGCTGTGATCTTTGACTACGAGGCGTTGACCCCCGAGTGCTGCTCTCTCGGTCATCTAACTGCCGGAAGCGATTGATAGATGACAACCACTGCGTCTCTTTCTCGCTCCGTGGCTGCCGAGAACCATCCAACAGCGCCCGTCTTATCGCATTGTTGGGTTTCTTGTTGTCTTGTGTGAAAGACATATCCTAATGAAAGGATGAAGGAGGGTTTAAAAAATGCCGAACCGGGAGTACCGGTCAGCTAGGCACAACTAGGTTGTGGCTATGAGTCCTGAGGACTCTTAGAGTGCCAGCACTCCAGAAGGAAGGGAGGAAGAGAGGAAGAGAGCAGCAAAACGGCGGCCACAGAAGCCAGAGAAAGGGGGCCAAATGGCCACGAGAGCTGTACGCGGGCACAAGAAAAGAGACACACACTACGCAGCGTGGTGGGAGTTTGAGAGATGCACGACATGACGTTGGGATAACCTCGAGCTTGGCGTGCCCACCAACGATATAGAGATGCATCATGAAGATAAATTGACACGACAAGAAATGAAAGAGATAGATATCAATCTGTGTGCATATGATATTCGGACTTCGTCCCAGAAAAAGGAGTAAAGTTCACGTGACCGCCTCCGAGGCGCATAGGCTTACCTTGCTGTGCCTCCCTGCTACATACAGCGAGCACCGGAGAGACAGCATACCTTGGAGACCTGATTATAAAAGCAGGTAAAGACATCCTGGCTTGTGTACACATCTACGCCACTGCCCAGGACGCCCTAGCCAGGTGACCATGTTCCAAATAATGGCCTTGGGCCTTGTTCGGGCATTTTGAGATGGCGCGAGACCCCATATGTAGCATTTAAACAATGTGCACCAACCGAAAGGGCACCGTAGAAGGGGAGAGGAGGTCCGAGACGTGTCGTGCCTCGACGTGCTACTACGTTTCGATTCTGCCTTGAACGTTCCTTACGACATTCGGCGCGGATTATACTGCTGCCACTGAACGATCGGTACGTTCATGGGCTTGGGCTCTATTGCTAGAGTTACCATATGTGCTTACGAAATTGGGAGGGACTCAGAGCTCCGCACACTGTGCATCAAACGAGCCTTTGCCGTTTGTTGCTAGTCCACTACGAAGGGGGTAGCTTTTACGGCGACAACGAAGCTCGCGTCGTAAGACGATGCACAGCGTGGTTTTCTTACTTTCTACTCGAGAAGAACACATACCTGTACACACCACTGGGATATGCTGAGCACATGCAGTCTTTGACACTTGGAACAATAGTGGCTTCGAGACTTGCGTAGCTAGAAAGAACATCTAGATGTACATATCTCCCACCGACCTCCAGATGCCTCGACCGCAGGTAGCAGCTTCCCCTCCAACAGCAGCCAACACCACCATGTCCGTCCCTTCCACCTCTGGGTTTGGATATCACACCTCAACTGACCCCTCCCCGAAATGGTGCACATCTGCTTGCAGCAATCCAAAGCCATTGTTTTCACGCATAAGGCGAGGCGCGAGACGGATTTATGGGAGATCGCGATGAGTGAGGTTCGACCAGGAGGATTGAGAGGATGAAGCAAATCGAGGACTGGCTCTATATGGGCATTAGCATATCGTCTAGATGTTGGGGGGCTGATGCACGATGGCCGTCGATGACTACTCGTTCGTACGGAACAAGCGGATCGATGAGTCCTGAGGCCAGCCATAAAGGCGCGGTCGAACGGTTATCGAACGGTTATCTGGCGAGAGATTGTGAAGTGTGAGGAGTTCCGTTCGCTTACCTGGTGTGGCCCTAGGATGTGGGTGGAGACTACAGCTCAGCTGACCTCCCCCATGTACCTCGGCTGACCTACCTTGGCAACTACATCAACAGCTACCACGTCAGTTCAACTTTTTGGCAGGTCAGATGAGGTATATGAAGCCCCCCCTAAAAAAATAACTACTCCACTGCTAAATGCGGTAACTACCCCCACACGGTGCTGTCTTTGCATATGCTGTATACGAGAGTGTTTCAGGGGCAGATTTAATTCAGTCACGTGACCAGATTCTAACAGCGGCTCCGGATCTGATTGGCCCGATCTAGTTACGTGATAATTTAACTGGCTTTATCTAGTCACGTGGCTAGGTCTGCCCCTAAGTACTGTAGTAACACTGTAGTATTACTCAGAAAAGTAATTAGATTTTATCACATGACTAGACCTGGAGATGTTAGCAACGCTCACGTGGAGGACGCTTATGTAGGGCAGGTCGGATGAGGTGTTGGTGCAGATTGTTCTAGCTGCTACGGGCGGCACATACATGAAATCCCCGTCGATTCCCAGCCTCACCACCATCAGACGGACGTGGCCCTGGCACCGTAGCCTGTCCTCAGGACCTCTCCCGACGACGTCAACAGCTCTGGCCATCGCCGCATCTGCGCTCCAACGCTGAGGCTGAAGCTCGGAACTGCTGCCACACTGGAGAATGCGTGACCCCGCTGCCTCTCTCCTCCATACCTTCACTCTCTTCAGCTCTCCCAACAGCACTACTGTCATACATCCAGCAGCCTCGAGTCTCCACCATGGCGACTCCACAGACCCCAGCCCCGCCTGCTGCTCTCCCTCTGGAACAGCTGAACGCCATGGTCAACGCCGTGGTTAGAATTCACTCCATTGCCCTGCGCAAACCGTGCTAACCTCCTCCCAGCTCATACAAACCGGCAAAATCTTCAAAGACCCCAAGCTCGCCAGCTCCGCCAAGAGCGCATACAACCTCAAGCGCATCATTCCCGCGACCATCGACCGCTTCCAAAACTCGCTGGACGAGCTGGAGGATGAGATAGTACGTTGATCTCCTCTATACACCAACACAACCGCACTGACAACGCCCCAGCACCGTGCCCAAACTGTCTTCCGCAGGGACCTGGCGATAATACGAGCAGACCGCATACAACGGGAACAAGCAGAAGCTGCAGAGCGACAGCGCGTGGCGGCAGAAGCAACGGACAGGGCCTCAGAGCCTGCAGAGGCACAGAGCAAGCCAGACGACATCATGCGAGGCGTCGAAGATCTCTTGAATGAGCCCAATCCACCTGCAGTCAAGGAGAAAACACCGGAAGCCCCCCCGCAGCCTGAACCAGCAGCCAACCCACAACCTCCTCCCCCCTCATCTGTAGCGCCAGCATCAGCACCTGCGCCGACAGCCCCTATGTCCCACCCTGCACCCATCAATACTGACTCTGCTCCGGCCCGGGACCCTCTCTTCGATGCGACACCTACCACCGCAAACATGCAGGACACGGAATACGATTTCGACTCCCTGTTCGAAAACGAAGCCACCGGCCCCACAGATCAGCCCGTCGACACTACTGCCCAAAATCACGCCGTATCCGACTTCGACTTGGACCTCGGCGTTGGAGACGACAGCAGCCATCCCCTCCTGCGTGGCCTCGAAGACTTCGCCAACAGCGGAGCAGACAACACCAACACGTCCAATATTGGGTCCACGTCCAACGACTTTAGTATGTTGGACCTACCTAATGTGCCCGCTGCCGGAGCCCCGAATTCAGGTGCTTTGGGCGTACTCGCTGGGGTGGGTGATTTGACCTCAGGGGCTCCTCAGCAGCAGAGTGTGCCCGCGCAGGAGTCACAGGCGACAGACGATATTATGGACCTTGACGTCGAGGCAACCAATTTTGACGACCTTTTCCAGTGGGAAGATAACCAAGAAGGAACGCAGTTCGAAGATCAGTTCTTGGATTTTGGCAATTAGGGGTAGGGCGAGGGGCTCGCCAGGTAGTTCAGTGATCCTCCAAATCTGCCGTATGTACGGTCTGATTTATCTTATAGCCCATAAATAGTGTATATAAGCCTTAGTTTGTAAGCCTACGGACAAATCCATGCCGCTGTCTGACAAGCTCCCACACAGTCTAAATGTTCTGAACTGAATGTAAAGTTTATCACCGTCCAAACCAGACCATCCTTTTCAACATCCAAACAATCGTCAGGCACCGCTGTCAGGAGTACTCCAGTGCATCACAAAAACTTCACACAAGATGTAAAGCTCATCACAGTGCAAATCAGACTTCGCGTTCATATATACACCTCCACACTTACTCCAAAATACACCCATTCTCAGCCGTTTCGTAAATCATAAACCCAATACGAAGCCCCCTTCCCCCCTCCCTGCCCCCCCCGCCCCCCTTCCACCCCTTTTACCCAACCCCACCAAACTCAAATATGCAAACTCCCAATACTCCCCACAATAACCGCAAAGCTCTCGCTCCGAAAATCATCCTTCAGCAACGTCGCCTCCGTCGCATAAAAATTCATAAGCTGCTGCCCCTCGGCCCACTGCGGCCACTCGGCCACGCCACTCCCCTCATTCGGGTCCAAATGGTGCACAAACGAAAAGTAATACGAATGAATCGACGCGGACGCGTAGTTGGGCAGGATGCCATAAAACACCTGCAGCAGATCGCTGGCGTGGAAGGTGCCCAGCACGGCGGTGCCGTAGTCGTAGCTGGCGAGGTACGACCAGCTGGGCACGCCGGGATTCACGGCCGCCGCGGAGGTGAGGAAGGTGCGCCGGGAGAGCGTAAAGGTCAGGTCGCCGAGGATGGCGGCCAGGCGCTTGAACTGCGGGTACCAGTTCCAAAGGGCGCCGGTGCGGAAGGGCGAGCCGGCGGCGGCGTCGTCCGGGTAGGTGGCGACGAGGGCGGCGATTTGCGCGGGCGAGGCGTCGGCGAAAAAGATGGTCGAGAGGTAGGTTTCGAGCTGCGCGGTGGTGGAGATGTTGGATTGGAAGAGGGCGAAGATGGTGCCTTCGTCTTCTTGGTCGCCGACGATGAAGGGCACTTTGGCGTATTTGCCCGCGGCGATGAGGGTTTCCGGGGACGCGGTGAGGGCGGAGCCGTCCGGGCGGGGGAGGTAGGAGAGCGAGACGGAGTTGTAGGAGAGGATTCCGGGGACGGAGTTGGCGGCGTTGAGCAGGGTGGTGTAGTCGACCTCGCGAAGGCAGGCGAGGGTGTCGCTAGAGGATGAGCATCCGGCAGCCTTCACGACAGTGTCATACACGACCTGGCCCTTTGGACAGTCGACTGGGTCCGCTGGGACGACGGAACCGGAATCCATGATACCAGCTCTGAAGAGAGGCTTCCCCTTATAGGTGTTATCACCATCGTACAATGCCATCTGATCCAGAACTGAGATGGCGCCTGCAGACTCTCCCCATATGGTCACCTTATCAGGGTCGCCACCAAAGGCGGCGATATTGTCTGCCACCCATTGCAATCCGAGTCTTTGATCCAGGAGTCCAAGATTTGCTGAGCCATCGGCGAGGATTTCGGCGCCTGGTAGAAATCCAAATCCTCCTACGCGGTAGTTGACAGCCACGAACACAATAGGTTTGCCCTGATTAACTGAGTCGCTGACCAATTGAGCGCCGTCGTACATCGATGACCAGCCGAGCTCAAAACCGCCGCCAAATCTGATATCCCTGTTAGTATGGATCTACTATAACAAGTCGAAGAAAGATGATTTTGCACTAGAAAGGAGAATGCTCACATCCAAAAGAGTACTGGTAACTCGGAAGAAGCAGTTGTTCCAGCAGGCCGAATAACATTGAGAGTCAAGCAATCCTCTCCCGCATTAGTTTTTGTTTGAAAGAGCGGCGTATCAAGGAGAGTTCCAAGTATCGAAGTAGGAAATTGGCTAGTATCAACATCGAAGAAGAACTGAGGACACGCTTTTGCGGTCCCTGTTGCGTTGACTGTGCCCAGGGGCGAGGCCAAAGCCTGCGGTGGCTTCAGACGCAATTGGCCCACAGGAGGCTGTGCGAACGGAATGCCATTGAAGCTATCCACGCCGACAGAATTTGATCCTACAATAGTAGCTTTTGGTGATGCGATGCTGACCGTGGGAACGTCTTGTTTCGCGGGTGCAGCATTCGTAAGGGGGAGAAGAACCAAAAGAACGGAGAAGAAGTTGAACATCTTGATGAAGGGATGATACTATGATGCTGGTCTATGTAATTGCCACAATGCTTCCCGCTTGCCTCCATTCCAGACAATCGCGGTGAAGGTATATATTCAAACATACTCTTCGACAAACACTGTCACAAGCTGGCAGATACATGTCCAGCTAAGTAACTCCTCGGTCTATATTGTAAGAGTGGCCAGGTGATCTCTTCCAGGGCTCATTGGGGGCGGTCTCCGGCTGCTCTCCGCTATTACATAGTAGTTGTAGGTGGCTTGAGAAGCTTTTCCGGGGGGGCATGGACGGCCCTGGGTCAGTATTAGGCTAGTTCACGGCGTAGTGCTAGGGATCTCTATATCACTACTGGCCATCAATGCTGCAAATAAGATCCGGTTTGCGGGGTGTCCGTTCGTGGAATGCGGAGACTAGGGCGCCGCGAGAAGTGCCGACGGATTCATGGTGGGAGACTGGGAGGATCTCTTCCCGCACATCGTCTTATGATCAAATCACACCGCCTGGAAAGACCTCCTAAAATGATTTACAACGCATCGCCCCTGATCTATTGATTAGCGCCCGTTCGAAGATCGAAATGAGCCTCTACTCTCAGGGATGGGGCCATGCCTCTTCGTTCCAGATTGAAAGGGAGTGGGAGGTGTGCGCCCGGAAGCCGGCGACTGTGAGGAAGTTTGACCAGATCACGTCACGGTTCCATATGAATTTGCGGGGTGGAATGCTGGGGTAAGGGACGAATCCAAGTCTCCTTCCCAGAGCGTCGGCGTTGATACCAAAAAAAGGATCGCGGTGTGCGTAGGGTGAGAATCCCACCACACCCTCGTAGACAAGGAGCGAAATTCGAGATCCCGATCTTGGCGGTATGGGCGGTTATATCGTTCGATTAATCGATTTCGGTGGATTATCCCCATTGCCTCGGTATCTCTGTATACAAGGTCATGGGACAAAATTGACATGGGTCGTAGCACGGGTGAAATACAACGTGAGAGTTGAGTTTGTTTCCCATATACTCACGCAGTGGACTGAAGAGAAGACGTTGATATGAGATTGCGAAGTAAAGAAAAAAAGACGAGAGACTGCTGGAGGGTGAAGAGATTCCTAGGATACGACCTTACATACCAAGCTCGCGTCTGGCTGAGAAATGTAGAGCAACTCGCAAGGGACCAGTAAACACACATGAGCAAGAACTGGCATGTGCTTGATACCTATGACCTAGACCGATTCGTAAACCAAATGCCTTGCAGGTCAGTAATGGAGTCTCTTCGACCCAGAACGCGGCCGGACGATCCAAGAGAGAAGTCAGGCGCGTGAGGACATTGAAGAGAATGCGGACATTGCACCAACGCCTTGGTATGGCGCACTGGGACCCTACCTACAGCTCGGCGCAGAGACCAAAGCTAGTAGCGCTTCATGGCTGCGCCCGAAGTCATAGCTCTTCGAATCTGGGGAATGTAATTCCGGCTCATCTGTCGGCGGACTTGCGTCCACGTGTGGCCCCTGTTGTGCTCGGCGTAATTCACATGCTGAGAAACATTGATGTCGAGTAGAGGAGCATTAGCCGTGGCGAAATAAAATGCGGGGTAGCCCGAGCGTCTTGACCGCTATCAGAAAGTCAGCGGGAATAAATTGACAAAAGAATTCCAAAAGATGCCGGTTAAAGAGTAGATACAGCTACAGCACCTTGGTGGTGATGACAGCACTGTTGCACGAGTCGCGAAGTCAGTGGACTTGTAGACCTAGCCCGTGCTCCAGCACGAGGTGCCAGTTGGTGCTTAATTTGATCATCACGTAGGGAGTACTTGAAAAGCTGAGCGCACAGCATTAATGCACCTCCATCCATTCTTCATTATAAGATTATGTACTGCCACTGGGAAAGCTGGCCCCGATCTATGCACCACCCTATCCGCAGACCTTAGCGGAATGACCTTGAAAGAAGAGAAGCGAAGGTATTAAGCAACATACAAAGGCATTATCTCGTCTGGCAAACATCCAGCCAAGACGAAATACAAAAACGCGGGTGCCTAATGATGTAATCTCAGCGTCAACGCGCGAGATTGAAGATGTCACCGGCTCAAACCAGTGATAAAAGGGTGTTGGTACAGCGAAAGAAAAGAAGTTGAAAACCCTGAAGCAGGTAAAGCTGGCGTATATAGAAAAGTATAGAATGTGAGACCCACAATCTCGTCCAGCGTTGAAGCGAGTGGGTCGTTTGTAAAACGCCATATTACAAGCTTTGTAAAGCGAGCGGCAGAAGGTAAAGCTGATGCTCGCGAACGTTCCTTTTGACCGACATATCGAATAGGAATATATCAATCTCGGTGCAACTCATGAGCGGGTCTTTTTCTTTCGTAACCTAGTCTTGATCGTGTCTGGTGTGGCTGGTCTTCCCGCAGGACTAGGCGTCCTCGCGACTGGCTCGCCGTTCAGCATGACTTGCGGAGTTGCTCCCGCCGCTAACTTGCCATTCGAGGCGCCATTTGCGTGTCCGTTCAATTTAGGCTGTGTTTTCTCCACATTTGCGTTGGTCGAGTCCTCCCGCTCATTGATAGCTTCGTCACCGGTGTCTTCGTAATCGCTCCTCTCATCTGCAATTTCCTTGCCCCAGTTGGCGACAAACCTATAGGCAATCCGGGCAATCATGAATAGCCAGAAGAGATTCACCGCCTGAAGCGCTGCCAGAAGCCCAAAGGTTATGACTTGACTCAGTCGACATTTGTACTGCTGGGTCTCCCAGTTGAGTTCGAATGGTCCTACGGTATTAAATTCTGTGAGGATAGAATATAGAACTTTGAGGTTGATGAAATGGCGGAGGTAAGTCCAGACGAATACGAAGAGGACGAAATAAGGACCAACGATTGGCCAATCAAGATAGTTGATGACTTTCGAGGTCTGTCGCGTCGAAATTAGCTTTTAAGCAGCAGACAGTATTGGTTGCTACCTACAGCGAGGAAGAAGTCACTGATGTCCATGGTAATGTATATAGCAATGCCCATGTGTGTGAAGTGGAAGCGATAGCTCAGCCAGATCAAGGCGAGCGTAATGAAATGGTGCATCACCAGCTCCTTGAAGTCTTTCCGAGGCTTCTCCAGCATGAGACACATGACTATCATCTGCTGCGCCCAGTACGCCGCCTGGAGCAAGTAGTACGCTTTGAACACAGCCTCATGGGTCAAGTGCGGATATCCCTCGTACATGGCTGTTGTATTGAAATACCAAATGGACGTTCGCGACATGACCCAAAGTCCGTATGGTCCAAAGATGCCGAAATATATGGCGGTGTAAGATTGTTCCATGAAGCGGGCTTGCTTTGTGCGAGAGCGGATGCCGGCGCGGATTGCCATCGGTCGTATAACGCGCTGCATGAAGAACTCGCGCGTGAATGTCAGGAATATGATATAAAAGCCCACGAAAGCAAAGTCGCGCGATCCTTTGCCGTATTGTATGGGGCCATCGGATCCCGGCTGAAGCGGAATGGGGTATGAGAGGAAGAGGGCGGCCGAGATTGGATTCGAGGGGTACGGGTAGACGAGGTAGAGGGAGACAATGAGCAGACAGAGGATCAAGGGGTTCACCCAGGTGTGCTTGAAGGACATGGCCTTCCACCGCCTGAAGAACCTCTTGACGGTCCGACGTTTTGACCGTTTGCCAGACTTCTCGGAGGTGCGCTGGATACCCGTAAGCTGATGAGACGGCGCAAGTGTGAGCATGGAACCCGAAACGCTCTGCTAACTTACGTGCTGCAGCTCCTGGGGCGAACGCGGCGAGAGCGTTGCGAGCGATCCGCCAATATTGTCGCCAGGAAGCTCGCCGCCGATGCCACTGGACTTCCTCCGCCGAAGTGCTCCGGGCTTGTTCCGCGATCTCTTCGAACTCTTCATGGGTGCAGAATGCTGAGCGGAATTCAGCGGGGGAAAGGGTTCCAGTTTATCCTCTGCCATAGTGAAGGAGAGTCAAGGAGGACTCAGCTGTCTAACGGAAGGAGGTGGAGGTTGCGGAAGCGTCGGGGGTGGGCCAGGTCGTGCTCTCGCGAGAAGCTCCTGGAAAAGAGATTAAGCCCAAACCCGCACTCGGCGGCCCAATCAGAAGGCGGATACGCTCAGCCCAAGATCACCATTAGCGACTTCGCGCGGAGATATTTAATGCAGATAATGGAGAAAAGACTAGACTGGCAGACCTGATGCTCTTGCCAGGGCGTACGTCCCAGGAGAGTTCGGAATTGCCGTGGTCAGGACGCTAATCCCGGCGTTTGAGCACACTACAAAAAGTTCATGTATACGTATGTAGGCGAAGAGCATGTACGCATTAGTAGGATGCACGCATTAGCATCGCTGATGCTGACTGCGATAGCGAAGTTTGTAGTTGTGTATTCTTCCTCCGTATTCGTGTATTTGATTCACAGCAGTCCAAGCTATGTATCCGGAAACATCCTCAACCACGGCACTCGAGCCCATGGAAGAAGTAAAAATATCAGGAAACCTCCTAGCAAGCGCCATATCCGCTGGCTCGGGATATCCAGTGTCTGATTGGGCGAGAAAAGGGGGCTTTAGTCCCGTAGGATCTGCAGGGGTAGCATAGAGGTCTTGCAATACTACCCAAGTCGAGAATAGACAAAACTGCACCACAATAACGGCAAACAGCTCTCATTTACATGCATGCACATCTAGAGCCTATCTGACGCCGCACGCACTGTGCTGTTCTCGGGTATCGCTGAAAACCCGCTACTCCAACTGTGCTATCCTACTCGACCTCTCTGAGCTTACTCCCATGCAAGACAGACGACTTCTGGAGTGATTGATACGCCGTGATTGGCGCTCCGTTGCTCCGGGAATTCTCGCTCTTCTTATGCCCGTTAGCCACCTCTCCTACGAGAGGGTCTTTTGTTTCAGCGGAACTACTCCCAACGCTATCGATGCTACCTTGTCTTGACATAGGCAAGCCTTGCCTCAACAGTCCTCTGATCCCACCAGCTTTGCGAGCTGGCAACTCGCCTTTGCCAGACGAAGCAATGTAAAGCAGATATTTGAGATTCGGAAGCGTTTGCCGGATATCCATGAGTTTGAGCCCGAGCCAGTTCGATAGAATCTCGATGTCTTTGTTTATTAAGAACACTGCATATTCGAAACGATACGTGGCAACTCCCTTCATATAGAGAGGATATGTGCGTGGGCCCGTTGTCATAGAGATTGGGTCTTCGATACTGGACGTTGATCCGCATGGGGTGACTGGGTATGGCAGTGCCACGGCAAGGTAAGGTGACAGCAGATTCAAGATCTGGGCCACATAGCCCAATGCTGCCGAGACTACCTCCTCTTTTGCGTCCTCGAAGTTCGAATTAGGAAGCGCCATGCCGCATATTGTGAAAGACAACGATTTCCCCGGAATGGGTTCAATCGGATATATTCTTTGGAGGTCCTCGCATATACGTCGTCGTTGGCCAAGAATGTCATCCTCTGTCTGCTGTAATGTCTCTCTGCATTGCTGAAGCTTCTCCTGGGCACCATCAACATGACTCTTTGCCTTTTCTTGAAATTCCCTGCCCTTTTGCATTGCTTCCTTCCGCGCTGCAATCTTTGCTATCTTCTCGTCTCTTTTCTTGCGAGTAGCTTCAAGGCGTCGTTGCTCTGCTACAACAGCGCTCTCTACCCTCTTCGCCCTCTCCTGAGCTTCTGGGACTCGACTGACAATAGATATTGACTCTTTATTCTGCTCAAGAATTAATTCCATCTCTCCTATTAGCCTATCCCTTGTTGCTAACGCGTCTTGTATGCACTCATCCAAGGTCGAGAGTTCTGCGAGCCGGTCGTATGATGAGGTAGGAAGAACCGGCCCAGTCGAAGGTTTCGGAGGTGCTGCAGATATAAGCGGGATCTCCTGACCAGTGGGCATGTCCATGAAGCTCGTATATATGCCGTCCGTCATATGGAACAGAATACAGTTGGGTGGTAGAGCGTGATCAAAACTCTCGAGCGTCTTTCCAATGAATTGCAACGCCCGGAGATGAGCTGTGTATTCTAGAAGATACTGCCAGCCTTTCATATACTCATTCCGTGCCCATACCTTTACCGTCAGCCAGTCTAGCCGGGTGACGGCAGGGCCGCAAGAATCGAGGTCGAAGAACCGGAAATTGGGGTTTATTGCCTGTTGCGCAATCTCGCTGATGTATACCGGATCTCCATGATGCGCTACGTGCAACGAAAAGAACGTATCTGCCATCCTATGCCCAGTGACAGCTTCCAGTTTCTGCTGCCTGACCAGCGGACTTGCGCCGGCCCACTCTGTCGCTGTACTACGCCTCCGCATTGATTTTGAGAAGGCTGGCCGCAGGCTCCTAGGAGAGGGTTTCGGCTTGCCATTTGAGAATTCGTCCGTCTCGGTGAGAGAGCGGAGGTCGGACGAGGAGTGGGAATGTTCGACTTTGCGCGTCTCTCGCAACGCAAGCACTTTCGATGGGGATTTGAGGGAGGAGGGCACTGCGCCGTCATCTATGGTCTTCCCACGCGGGCGGCCTGGGCTGGAGACGAGCGTAAGGTTCCGGAGAGTGATGCCCTGGAGGTGCCTGAGCTTCCGGTTCTGTCATGCTTGAATTAGCTTGAGGTCCCATGTGCTGGTACAGTGACGTACAGAGGGCAGCAACCACGGCCGCTCCCTAGAAGCCCCACCGGCATCTGCTGCAGCATGCTCAGTATGAAGCCCGTCACTTGACATGGTGAACAGAAGTTGCTAGGTTGGCGCTGTCACGTAGGCTGACCGAGCCTCAAGAGGGCAATGCCGATGTTGTTAGACTGAAGCTCGGAACGAAGGGCAGAGACATGGTCTGGCTTGCAAGTCATAGTCGGCGGGGAACTCGACGAAGAAAACGGTCCATTCACTGCCGCGTGGCATGCGCTGGTAAGGTGTTCCTTCACGAGCTCATCGCTCGCGCACGGGCCAGCGATGTTCGGCTCGCCGTAAACTTTCTCCCAACGCCCGCGACACCACCGCGACGACAGCACCTTCACCGGCCATCAATTGATGCGTCCATCATGCCGCGCACTGCAAACAAACTCGCGATCCCCAAGCGGTTCAAGCACGGCCAGCACATCTTCTTCTGGAAGGAGATCCACACGAACCAGGTCCTCTACTCCTTCACTCGCCAACTCGATGTACGTACAGCGCCATTCAACTGCAGTCAAGCCGAAATCTAATAGACCATCTATAGGATTCGCTATTAGAGCAGATCCCTTTCATTGGAAAGAATTCCAAGCCCCCCACAATCCGGCCTGATCTCTGGACGCCCCTCCTTACTGTCTTTTTCCCGAGCGACAAGCAGGGCCTAGTAGCCTACCGCATGCTTCGCGAGTTCCGCCGCCTGCACGAAACATCATGGGATAAGAACAACCCGGAGATTAAGCGCATGGAAAAGAAGAAGCGTATTCACTGGATCAAGGACCAGAAGGCGAACTCAATTGCCGACCTTGCAAAGGTGCTCTCCATGTTCAAGGACCAGGCTCCCAAGTTAGAGGAAATGGCAAGGAACAAGCGGGCCGAGGTGGAGAAGGAAGCATTGAAGCGATGGGAGCAAGTCAAGAGGCGAGCGGCGAAGGCAGATGCGGGCGAGCTCAGCAAGATTGAGCGCGAGATCGAGAGCCTGAAGACTCAGCGTGCGCGCAAGACAGGAGACAAGGAGAGGCAACGTCTCGACAGAGCCATCAACATCTGGCGGATGCAATACGCCTCGCTGAAGAAAAGCCAAAAACAGGTCCTGAAGTTCCAAGAAGAGGAGGAGAGAATAGCAAAGAAAAAGGAGGCCGAAAGGCAGGCCAGAATCGTGGAGATGGCCGATAAACTACCTGACCAGGAGGCGTCCGAGAAGCTACCTCCAGGCGAGGCGTCACCCACAGTCGAACCGCTACCCACAATCGAAAAGTTACCCGTAATCGAAGAGGGCGGCAAACTACCCAAATTTACAGTCCTCCCAGAAAACCAGGCGCTCGCCAAAATTGTGCCTATCCAATTCCAAAAGCCAGTACCAGCGCCAATGAGCATTGATGGCGTCGTCGTTCAGTGGGCCCACTTGACCGATGCGGAACATGCCCTAGGATCCTGGCCGACTGAGGTTCTGCATGCCGAAATGGGCCATCTTAGACGATTCCCTCCCTTGCCAGAAGACGATCCGCAGGAATTCCCGCTAAATGAGGAGGAAGGTGAGACTATGCGCTTAGCAAGATTAGAGCATAAACGTCGAAATCGAGAAAAAGAAGAAGCTAAACAGGCTGAGAGGCTGGCCAATAAATTGGCGGCGAAAGCGAAGCACGGAGAGAAGGCGGGTATTCTGGGGCGATTTATCCCAAAGCTCCCATTTTTTGGAAACAAAGCCCCCAGGAGGGCACAGCTGGAGCAATAGTGATTGCGGGGGAGAGCTGGACGAAGTCCGCTTTGTAAGGCCAGTGTATCATACCTGCAATTATATATGTATTATACGTCACAGTTAGAAAAGCGTTTTGGTGCATGTACGTCTCAATCACACCAATTTGATCGCCGAATCTGTTTCGAACTCTGGCTATGCGGCGGCCTTGTCCACTTGTGAGTCCAAGAAAGTCTACCAATCCCCCTTCTTAGTACTGGTAGATGACGAGGTTGGAGGTGGCTAGGCGAATTTCAGGTCGTTCAAACCGATTCACGGACATCTTGTTCAAATATTTAAAATTACATTGGATGACTTCACAGTGTTAAGCAGACGCATCAACTCCACCCAGTTCAAATGATACGAACTTCGCCACACCGCTCCTGCTCAAACGCCTCCCCGTACATAACACCATGCACATATATATCCCCAACGAGCGTGTACGCACCCCTCCCATCTTCCCCATCCCCTAACCCCCTTCTCTTCTCTCTCGCCATCTCCGGCCTCAGCAAAATCGGCACACGCGCCCCTTGAACCAGCCAAACCTCATCGCCTACCTCCGCCCCTTCAAGCGCAAGTCCTATATACCCCTTCTGCGTCCTAACCATCCGACGTCCCGCAATAGCAGCCTTGAAATCACGCGCGTCAGTAATCGACCTGATATCCGAGCTCGAGGACGGCATCGAAAGTACCGGCGCCGCATGCCACCCCGTGACCATATGCTTCACGTACATAGCCCCGACAGCCGCCATGCTGAAGATCCCGCATATCCAGATAACGAGGCCGGAGGGCAGCGGCGACCGAAACAGCCAGTACCAAACGCGCCAGCTCTCTTCCCACTCTGTGAACTTCGCGCGGTAGGCTTCCAGTTCGCGTGGATCCCGCCCGTGGCGGCCGGCGAGTAGCGTTTGCATGTAGACGTCGCGCATGTGTGGCTCGCCTGTCGTGTAAGGGTGGTTGGAACGGGCACGGGAGACGGTCTCCCAGGTGACGAGGGCAGAGTACAGGCGGAGGTCGGCGTTGATGAGAGAGCTGAGGGTAGGGAACCAGGGGGTGCTGGGGCAGGTCAGGGCTGTGGCCACGATGGTGCCGCCAGGAAGCTGGTGTGCAGCAGTAAGGGTCAGGATGGTCTTGGAGGGAGATACTTGGAAGGGTGGGTTGGTGTCGGTGGCTGGAAGGAAGCCGGAGGCGGAGAATGGTGGGTATGTGGAGGATGAGTTGTATGGCACTAAGGAGGCGACGAAAGGCGCATGTGTCCAGTCAGGAATCCACGAAGGAAGGCTGCGATCTGCGGTGTGTGGTGCGTGTGGGACGCTGAGGATGTTCAGGCTATTGTCGTCCATTTTCATCATCTCTATGGCGGCGTCGGTAAAGATTTCGGCATCCGTCTTGCTGTAATCTGGCTGGAGAGGGAATATTGATAAGCCGGATAGAGCGAAGATTTTATCTTTGGGTAATGTTGCGATGCACGGTCTGTGGCGAAGCATCATAGCCAGAAAGTCCTGATACAGATTGTTCTGGAAGTTATCGCGGGTCTTCATCAGTGCTACAACCTTCTCTGCGTGGTTGTCGGGGTGGGACTCCAGAAGTCCGACGGCGAGCATGAATTGTAGCATATTTGAGAATGTGGACCAAGAAGTAGATGAGCTTCCACAGTGAAGCATAGCATCAGGTGCCACTGCGATTTCCTGGATGATCCACATACGTCCCCACCACGGCCGCTGAAGAAATTGGCCTACGGAGCTCCAACCAATATCGTCAAGCTGTGGAAGATATCGAAATATCTCCTTTTGCACCACCGGATCCTTGAAAGCCTTCCAGTCTCGAATCTGGTTACGCTGCATAGCGTCACCAAAGGCTTCCAATAGGTTGAGCACATGATCGGAATTCGCTCCCGCATCTCCCAGCCATACGGCAACCGTCGATGCAGTTTCGTATATTTGCCGCATGAGTCTGACTTGTTGTGTCTTTTCCGAATCGTCAGTCTGGTTGATACAAATCGCATCTGCCCAGAAGGTCCGCTCCGAGCGACCGCGAAATCTCAGGAGGGCTTCATGTAGTGACTTTGTGATAGTCATCACCGCCCCATCGCAGATGATCTTCGACGTCTCGTTTGGATTTCCCCAACAATAACTTATCGCGACAAATGAATGGTGCTCTGGGCACTCTTCCAATATCACGGCCTTCGTCTCGATGACAATGATCTGCTCGGGATCGTACCACTGGTAATGCGGCGATGGTTTGATCGTAATGAGACGAATCATACGCGTAGGATCCGGTAGCGGCTGGTACTTGAACAAAGGGACATAGAATGGTGGTGCATGTGCCGCTGCGTACCACTTAGGGAAAAGAGTCTTTGAAAGCCCTCGCAGCGCCACTGTTAAGTAGTCGTTACTACGCGTCCCCTTGCTGTTTTCCATAGCAACATATTGCGTCGGAGTCGGGCCGCGGAACGACATCTTGAGTATTTCTGGGATTTCTTATAGCATTGCAGTCGGGATGAACGAACAAAAGAGTAGACAAGAAAATTGCAACTGTCGTGTGTTTCACTGGTTGTGACTCCAGTGACTGCTGCCTGTGCGGGATGCCTGCGAGGCCGAGGGGAGGGTCCCTCACATTGGAAGAACCGAAAATCACGAGACGACGTGACCTCGAAAGGGCTTCTGGGAAGATGAAGGAGGTGGAAATACTGACAATCATAATGGTTCAATCAAGCGGTTCTAGATGTCCTGCGTAGGTGCTGCGCCTCGTTCCTATCTAAATTTGAACTTTTGGAGTCCAAAAGGACCTCGGTGATTGGTCGCCCTCAGTCACACGGGCAGTGCTTAGTTTCATCACCACAGCGTATTTCTCCTCCTTTACACTATCTCAAAGCCCGGGGCAGGCATGTGAAAGAATCGGCGCAGCATAGCATATCTATAGGGACCACGTAGCATTGCATTATCGCTAGTCCTTTTAGCAGTAAAGAGAAACGCCTAAGTTTCTCGCACGACACGATACTTACTAAAGAAGACTTGTACTAACTACACGCTGGAATGTTTATAGATTTACTCGAATAGATATCAACAGATGTATATGGATTCAATACTGGCTGGAGATTTATGCCCAACGAAGCCCCTGCAACTCGAAAAGAAAAGCAAACAAGTTAAGACTCTGCATCATTTAGGGTCGAGTGGCTTCTCATTCCCAAGACTATTGTCATCAACATGCTTTTCTTGTGTCTTCTGTCCCCTCTCTAGATCGGGCGGGTGGTGATTGGGCTTCATTGGCCGTGCTGCGCGCACGCTGAAGACATCTTTCACTCGTCGGAGTAGTCTGCTTAAGGCAGGCTCCTTGTCTAAAGTGGGTTGAAGGTTGGATGCGACTTTTATGATCTGATGATTATGAATGGGGCTTGAGTTCCTAGAATTTTCTGCGTCGTCCTCTCTCGCTTTCCGAAGAGAATCTAGCCATGCGGAAGCCTTGAGTCGAATGGGGCGGGTAACAGTCAGCACTGGTCGAATCAATGTCAGAACAATGATGGTGACAATGACAGTGATGATCGCCGTAATAACCATGCCATTCAAGGTCTTTTTTCCAGGAGCAGCATTCATGCTGAAGATGCCAGTAGCAAATCCTAATGGAAGGAATATCACGGTTACGTAGGTGAAGAAGCGGACATTCTCGGCACTTTCGTAGTTTAACTCGTCTCTTGTGGAGTCAGACATGCGCTCGAGCGATAGTCTTAACGACCGGATGTCTGCAAGATAGTGTTCTAGAATCCGGATTCTTTGGTTGTTCGACGCCGTAACCTTGGATATCACAGGCCTGTATTTCCTCTCGTCGTTCCTGGTCCATCTTGGTCGTTCAAGCTGGCGCTCGCTTTCTCGATCTCTCCAGAATCCAATTTTTTCTAGGTTTTCCTTCAAATCTTCCTCCATGACTTGCAGAGTATACTGAAAGGCTGGCCATTTTTTCCGGAATTCTGAGTAGGCGGAGGTGTTCATGGGTATAGACAACAAAGTGTGCAGGACGAGGAGAACGTCCGTACGGTCGATGCCAGCTGTTTTCGCACGTGGAAAGAGGCTACTCAGTCGTTCGCCCGTCTGCTCAAACATCTCGCCATAACGCCCCGCGATCTTCTTGAGCATGAGATCGAACAACAGAAGTTCCAGTACCTTACGCTGGCGCCACGGCTCTTTGTCCCGCTCAAATTTGGACAGAGTGTCCTCGGGTCTGATGAGCTCCTTGAAGCGTTTTAGCAGATCATCCTTTTTGTCTGGGTCGAAGGACTGCTCCCGCTGGGAGTCTTCCGTTGGTTCATGTTCAAGAACGTGACATGTCCAATAGCGATCCCAAAAGTCGCCAACGAATCGAAAGCCCGTCCCCGCTCTCCTCATCACCATACTGCCCCCAAGGAAGTTAAGATCACCCTTCCTTTTGCCTTCGTGTGCTTGATCACCCTTCCTTCTGCCTTCTCGTGCTTCAAAGACTTGATAAGAGGATAAATGGAACTCAGTCTTCCAAAGGTTCGAAGTTGCTATCACTTCGTCGAAGAAGTATTTCCGCTTGTAGTCGTGCTTCTCGAAAAACTCTTCCAGGCATTCCTGCTCTGCCTTTGGAGATGCAAGAATGCACAGCTCTTTCGTATCGGAATTGGGGTTAGGTAGCCAGATAAGCCTTTTCTTAGCGTCCTGTGCTGTTCTGGGACGATTGAATCTGTCGTAGATGTCCAGGTTGCACGAGGCGTTGAACCCATTTTCTAGCTGCTGACAGTGACCTGCCCCATCTGATCTCGGGACATCGACGACTACGCCTCTCAGTAGTGTGTCTGAGGGCTTGATGATCAACTTGATACTCTTACGCGAGCCTTCTATGTCATCGTTAGAGTCCAGGAATTCGGGATAATCGTACAGCCATTCATCCGACAGCTCAACAATGCTTTTTTCATCAATGAGAATGTTGAACGGTATTGACTTCCTCATCTCCAAGGTCTGGGATTCTTTTTGCGGATCAATCTGAATTGGTTGCCCAGCGGTGGGGTTCACCGGATTTGCCTCCTCGGGTTTCTTACTATCTTCCACATTCAACCTGCATTCCCAAAGAATGCAGGGCACTTCAAAGCTAGCCTGCCAGTGAAAGTCTTTCCAGCTAAAATCGGGCTCTTTACTGCCTGGTTGAAGTTGGCCTGGGAAAATGCCGTTCCGCGAGGAGCTTCCAAGCAGAATGTCTTTCGCGATGGTAAACATACTAGATGGGGACCTAGTGTTGATCGGATGCCCATTTTTTGCCATCATCATAGCCAGTGCGTAGCGCAAGGGGTTACCCCACTCCAAATCTTCATTGCCTTTGTGAAACCTCTGCACATCGTTCGTGGCTATCCACAGGGTGTCTGACTTGTCGAATAATGGTGTCCACGTGTCGTAGAACAATGCTGTGTCCGTAGAATGGAAGAGAAACCTGCTTGCGGATGCTGTACGAGAAATAGCAACCATCTTCCGTCTTGACACATTGTTCTCTGTGGTGAACCGCCTTATCGCTTTAGACTGGAAGTCTGCCGGTGTGTAGCTATGATGCAGTGGGTTCTTTAAGTCAGGACGGCCAGAGGGTCCAATACGCGGCGGCTTCGTCGGGGAAGTCTTGCTTGTTTTGAGTTCTTTCTGGAGGCCGAGCCTCTTAATAGATAGGAGCGCTCTCCACATCCATACGTGGTCTTCAAGGCGGTAGCGTTTCTGTCCTGGACGTGATTTGCTCAGAGGGCGAGGAATTGCATAAAATCCACGTGCGTTCTCTAGATCTAGTGCTTCGACCCAATCGCCAACACTGGATCGCAATGAGTTCCCTCGCTCTTCGAAAAGCCCCTTGATCTCCTCATTCTTGGTTCTTATCGCGAAGTCCGCGAATTTGATGATGTTCAAGGGCCAGTCCGACAATGACTTCGGGCTCAGAACTTCTTTTGAACTCATATGCGGTATTTTTGTGCCTGTGATCCAATAGTCTGCTCCGAGAAGTTCACGCATATCCTTGGTCTGCCCTTCTTTCCAAGTCACACGCATGATTCCGGTCTGCTCGATCCATGTCAGGTGGGCCCGGCACGTATCCTTGATTCTGTTTCGTAGCGCAGCCAAGAATGCCCTTTCGCAAGCCGATCTTTTGTCTTTACGGCACTTACATTGAGCGAGGGTATGTTCCTGCTTATCCTTGCTCTGTCCCTGCTGAGGTTCGGGCTTTTCGAGGTATTCAAACATCGAAAGCAAGAAGTGAAAGGCAAAGCTAGCGCTCGTCAGTTGAAAGCGCATTCTATCTGAAGTATGCTTAACTTACAAAGTTGCCGACGTAACGATTCGATGTCCCGATATGTCTCCACAGGTCAATGCGACTTTTGATCCCTCGCTCTCTAATGGTATCGAACCCACTGGAATACTACAGACGGAAAGTATGTGCTCTAGGTTACGTCGTAGGGCAAAGTCCAAATGTGGATCGGCTGAAAACGTCAATTTCGTGAATGAAGGTGCTGTAAATGCTTTGTACGCGTTGGAAAGGTCTGACTTGGAGATTAAAGGAACGTTCTCCTCAATTTCGGCTTGCAATGGCACTAGCTTAAAGGCCAATGTTACTAGAAGCGGCTCCAAGGGCCGAAGCTGATGTCCACGATCTTCTTCGCCTTTTGTTTGATACCAATCACCCATGTAATGCTCAATAGGCTGGGCCTCGCCGTTCACGAAAACCGCGATTGCCAAGGCAACCTTGTAACTCTCATTGATGTTCTCATGAGTAAGAATGAGGTTGCGATCATTTGCGCCAAGAGATTGCGAGTACTGAGAGGACTGTGATGTGTCCTTATTGAATTGATTTTTTTGGTCGATGAAGTCCAACTCCCGTATCAGGAGATCCGCTGAGATAAAAAAAGTCGATGGGATCGTAACAGAGCCTTCCGTCGTCGACTCATAACGGTATTGTTGGAAAACGATATCTTGGAAAACGATATGTTGTATGGCCTTGGTGAAGTAGGGGTGATCGGTAGGCTGAGTAGTGAACAATGGCCAACGATTGTGAATGAATTCCAACGTAGGCAGCATTTCGGCAGCCTTGCCTAACTCCACTGGAATATCTTCATTGAAATAGGCAGCGATAGCTTCATCGTTGTGTGTGGAAAGAGCCATGAGTTTTTCCGCCCGATCATGGACATCGGATGGCTGTGGTACACCGGGGAGATCTACGCAGACGAATCCTGATTGACCAACTCCTAAATATCGCGTGATCTGTGTGAGATAGCCGTGTGCATTCGTACTAGCCGTTGTTGTTTTGTCGCCGAAAGATGCATATGTGGGCGCGTTCTTGGTCTTTTCATTTGCATGTGGAGGGACTGATGAGCGTTCGTCCTCCCTTGGATTATCTAGGAATCGCCTAGTGAGAATTGAATCATAATTTGGTGGGAGACCTGACCTATTATGAACTGCTGGAAGTCGATTCCATTCACTACTACTTCGCTCACCTCTCCTCGACGACTTTCTGCTCCAGCTCTATCTGCTTCCCTCGTTTCTAGTTCGCCCTTCTCGGAAGTTTGGCCTGCAATATGGGGCTCTTTTGGAGCTTCTTGGATTGCTGTTGGTCGGTCCTCCAAACCTCGAGAGATTTCTGTCGGGACATGAATGCCCTCGGCCATATTTGGGAATGGCGTCGACTTGTGTCGATGTCGAATTGCACGAAGCTGGATTGTGACGAGTCAAACTTGCGACAAGGCTGGGCTGTGACCAGGCTGAATTGCGACGAGGCCGGAGTTGTGCGGGTCGACGGTAGGACTGAATGGTTTATAGACGCTCAAGGAGCCGGCTCATCTTGCATCAATCACAGCTCAAGTAGGCTGCAAGCCTCAACCCGAATACACTCGTGTGCATCAGCCTCCAGCTCGATGCAATACATATTTGCCGCCATCCGACTGATTGGCCTTGCTGAAGGTAATGCAGGACCATGGTCTCAAATCCTGTCCTATGAGAATTTAGTAAGAAATTTATCTCCGTTCGCCCTGAAGTGCTCTTACCAAGATCGTGCGATTACAAACTCTGGAAGTGCTAGGGTTGAAGGCTCGGGGGACATCTGGGCTGATAAGGAATGCAACTCCATACGTCCAAAAGGATGCATGCGGAGACAGGGGGTTTTCTGCAAGTTACCCATTCCGCTGGCTTGTATACGGGTGGCTTAATGGCAGGCGCTGAGTCACGGTAAGGACGGCAGCAGGCTTTCAGCTCGTGGTGAACATCGACGATGGATTCTCGGACAAGGTTCTCGAAAGGGTTCATTGCGGCGCCGGCTCGTTACTGATTACCGCCTTCGTCTTCAAGGCTGTCATCGTCAGTCACTACACAACCCTACCCCTCCGATGATACAAATCGTGATGACTGCTGCCGGTGTAGGATGCTTGCGAGGCTAAAAGGAGAGATGCCTCGCATCAAAAAGAGTAGGGAACCACGAGGCGACGTGAACTCGAGACTGCTTCTAAGGAGGTGAAGGTGGGAGTACTTACAAGTCTGATGGGTTAAGTTAAGCGGTGCTAAGATGTAGGTGCTACGCCTGGGCCTTCTCTGACTTCTGACTTTTGGGGTCCAAAAGGACCCTTCGTGATTGGTCCGCCCTCAACCACTATCACCAACTTGCTGCTCAATAGAAAGGAAAAGTGACAGCTCCGGACACTCTCTCTAAGCTTACTTCTAGAATGAACTACCTAATCACAAGGTACATGTGCTAGGTGTTGTGATAGACTATTCTACTTAGTGTCAAAGAGAGAAGAGTCGGGAGGCTGTGCACGCATGATACGAAGAGGCGCAAGGCTGATTATAGTCTTTGTGCCACCCCAGCCTTCCAATCATGAGGTTCGTGTGTCTTCAAGATACAGACCCCACTGACTGTAGTCGGCTGGTGCGGAGGGAAACGCCCTAAGGCACAAGGCTAGAACTTTGAATACGAGATTACGAGAAATGGATCACGGCTGTGGCGTTCGCGACCAACATAGGTAGTATATGCTCTTTGGCACATCTGTTCTATGCATCTTCAATCCGTACGCTTTATCACATCACAACGCCATCAATGTATACGTAGGCCCAGTCCACATTGGATGCTCCATCCAAGATGACTTCGGCAGTCCAGCTCAAAGGCATGAACGACGGCCTCGAACGTCGCCACTCAACCGGACCAACATCTACAAGCACCACTCTATCGCCCTACACCGCAACGAACTCCACCACAGCCCACCGACAATCCACCTCCGCCATCGACCTGAGCCACAGCCCTTCAAACGACGAATCCCCATCTGACTACGAAACCCAACCTCAAGACTCCCCTAGCTTCGCACCCACCCACACCTTCTGGATAACCCCACACAGCCTCTTCACACGCTCCATCCCCGTCTACGACCTAACATCGGGCATTTCAACCCCCTACACAGGCCTGTCCCCAGCCTACAAAGCGGCAGTCCAAAAAGCGCTAAAAGACCACTGCCCGACCCCCTGCTACACCCTCACGCGCCAAAACTGGCTCGGCCTCCGCTACACCATCACTGATGTCGCTAGTGTCCCTGTTGCTGAATGGAAGCACCCTTGGTCCTCCGTCGGCGAAGCCCTGCTCACATTCCCGGCCGACAGTACGCACAGCACGCACGCGGTGGCGCTGCGGAACAAGCGGTGGGGTCGCCGCACCGAAACATTTGTAATGGATTCGGTGACGTATGAGTGGGCGAGCGATAGCTTGCTTGTGTCGCAGTACATGACGCTGTATAAGGTGCTTGGCAGCCAGCGGGCCGAGGTGGGAAAGTTTGCGGCGAAGCGATGGGGGGGTTGGAGCACGGGGGGTACCTTTGTTGTAGATACGAATGAAGTCGATGAGTTGGTTGCTGTATTGAGCCTGGCGGTAGTGTTGAAAAAGAAGCGTCAGAGAGCTGCCAAGCGTCACGGGGCCTAAGGAGGCGGAAGTTGATTGGTTACTGTTTTGCCGTTCGGGAGAATAGCTAAGCATGTTGCGTTATACCTCAGACGGCGGCAGAAGGGTGCATGCAAATTGGAAGTATGATCGGTCGATCTACAACTCTATTAATACGTTAAGTAATTCACGCAGCTATGGCGAGACATGGTCCATCACCTCCCAAGGGAGGTAAGTAATAATATAAGACTAGGTAACACCCAGAAAAAGACTTTCCGCTGTCTGAAGAGGTAAGCATAACACATTAGGGACTGGGTATTAGGAGCTATAGTAGCCCGTACACCCCTAGCTCGAAAATACATCATCGTAATACATAAATACTTACCGATCCCAAATCGGCTAAAAGATTTACAGCGGGCTCGCCTCTTGTCTCTTCCGCTCTTCTTCCGCTTCTTCCAGATCCCCCAGAATGTCCGGCAGCATTTCCTCTATCTCCTCCTCCCTGATATTCAACGCGCCTTTGATGAGCTGCTTATACTCGCTCTGCCGCTCGCCCATGCCCGCAACGCTGAGATTTTGGATCACCTCTGACACGAGCACCCTCCGCTCCACCTGAGCTCTAGACAATAGGAACGCCAGACGTAGCTTCTCGTGCAGAGCGGCGTCGCTACCAGCGGCTTCTTTTCCGATGTGGTTCTGTTTCTGCGACTGCGCATTCGTACTTAACCGTCTCAACTCCGCCCTCTGCTCAACCTCTAACAACGCTTCTGCTTCACGGACTAGGCTCGCGAGCTCCTCCTCCTGCGCTTGGTCTAGCTCCGGCTCGTCGTCGCTTGATAATAGCGCCAGCTCTCTGCGTATCGAGTCGAGTTCCTGCTGGCGTTTACGAGCCACGCGCTCTGCTTCTTCGTACTCCTCTTCCTTTTCTTTGAGCTCATCTTCATATGCGATGGCTAGCTCCTCGCATTTCTGGTGGAGAGTGGGCACGATCTTGGTCATGAGGTGTGAGGCGGTTGAGGAGTGGAATTGCACTGCGGTGGGTATACTAGTGGCAAGGGAGGTCTGGAAGGGGTGCGGTACGAGGTCGCCGTTCATGCGCGGGTCAGGGCCAAATGGTGACGACGAAGGCTGACGAGGACGGCCGGCTTGACGGCGCCTTAAGTTGAGCTCGTGAAATAGGTCGTCGGCCGTTTCGCCTTTGTTGTTAGGGATGTCGGTGGTGACGAAGCGGCCGAGGAATGAGCGCACGCATTTTCTTGCGCCGTTGCGCGCAGCAATCATGATCGCCGTGTCGCCGTTCTTGTCTTGGATGTTGAGGAGTCGCGTGACTTCTTCCGGAACCCAGGTCTCGAGAAGCTTGTTGATAATACAGTCGAGGTAGTAGCGTGCGCAGACGTATTTGTTCGTTGAGGAGGTAGTTGCGGCTATGTGGTGGAATACAGTCGACCCGAACCAGTCGGTGCGTACAACGGTCTGCTGGAATATCTTCACCATGCTCGGCATGGTATTCTTGTCGAAGTTATTTGTGAACATGACGGCTCGCATCAGAGGCGTTTCGAGGTTGTTGGAGAGGCAGTCTATCCGTGCGCCTCGACGCATGAGCTCCTTGACCACCTCAACATCACCCATAGCGGCTGCCCAGTGCATAGCTGAGTGACCCTTCTCGTCAATAGGCCGATCGAGATTGACGTTTGCTGGAGGCTCCGGCGGTGCAGGGAAGCGGTCGTCGGATTCAAGTAGCATGAAGTAGTCGAGTAAGGCATCAGCCCATATCTGATGCTGCTGGTCTTGGAGAGCCATCTGGTCGGCCCCTCGCTTCCTCTTCCTTGATGAAGCGGAGTACTGAGAAGCCCCGAGCATATCTTGGTCCCCGAGCATGGATTCCGAAACGACTGTCTCGTTGTCGGGCGTGTCTTCCTTGGCAAATTGAACGCTACCATTGTCGAACTGCTCCTCGCTGATTTGGCTCTGGCTGGCGGTCGGGAAAGCGGCTAATAATAGTCAGCATGCGTCTCTGGAAGTTCCATTAAGTGGAGTTTTATTGTCAGGGCTGAGCGCATGGATTCTATGCTCCATTTGAAGGCGCTTGAGGGTGTAAGAAAAAAGTAATGTTCACTCTTCTTACCGTTCCTCCTTGCCGCTGCACTCTGCCTAGGCACCTTTGGCCTATTTGAAGCAGCAGTCGCATGCTTCGGGGCAGGAGGAGGGCTGCGGTCTCCTGGTTTGTAGTCGAATATGGGTAGTAATTTCTCCAAGACGCCGTTGCGCTCTGCCAGAATTCGCCCGTCGTGAAGCGGCACCCATGTCCCTAAATTCAAGACGTCTTAGAGACCGCATGTAGAAAGCTCTCTGCGTGGTCTGACCTTGGTATTTGCCGTATCCGCCCTGGACCTTCTCATGTACGCCCTTCTGAACCTCGCGCTCCAGGATACGGGTTCGGGCGGGCTTGTCGAAGTCGGCTACCTTGAGGATATGAGTCGCATTGATCCAGTCGTCAGCGCGTCGGCGCATAACATGGTTACCGGCGATGTTGTACTCGAAGACGGGGACCTGGAATGCTTAGCTACTGTTCCTGCACTGTCTGGAGATGTGGTCGATATGGCATGGGGAGTGTGACTGATCTGGTGGCGCCAGAGAGATGCGCCGGGGGAGTAAGGAGCGCAGCGCGCGGATATTTACATTGCTGTACGTCGCGGAGTAGATCTTGGTGTTCGCGTCAGACGGCATGATGGCGATAGGGTTGCGTTGGATCGTCAGCGAGGCCTCTAATCTACACGGTCTGGAGGAAGACGCGCCTTCGCGTCGCCGTGCGGTCCTGGTGAGCGTTCTGCCACCGCCTTCACGGCGAGCTCCATCTTCGCCCGATTCTCGAGCTCCTCCACCATCAACTCGACAAACGCCTTGTGTGCAGCCTTCACCACGCCGCCCGCCAGCATGACAATCACCGAGTCTATCAAGGAGGCGGTCGGCCTGAACAATGCCTCCTCTGGCCGTAAGTGACGTGTCCCTGGCCCCCCAATTGGCATAGCTGCAGGAACACATCACGATTGACACGACATCAGAAGCCACAAGGGAGGACATGTCTGCGGCGAGATTGCCGATCCAATATAGAGACTCGTGCGCCCATCTACTCATTCCCCTAAACCGCTGTCGAGCGGAGGAGTACTATCTGCCATGGAAGTGCGAGGTACGCATCGGCATCCTAGCCGCGACGTCCGGCCCCCCGAAACAAAAGCTAAGAGGAGCCCTAGAACGAGCGGCATTCATACGAGAAGTGCCAGTACGTGGAATTCAAGAAGCGAGTGGCCAAGATGGACGAGCTGAGGGCAGCCAAGGACGGAGCGCGGAGCAATTGATATCAATGCGCACAAGGAGAGCATTCCGCAAGCTAGAGGTCGAAGAGCTGCATCTGTACATAGCCGCAGCATCGACAGCATGTAACATTTATGTCGGCAAGTCTCAGAAAATTCAGGGCGTTTCTTTCACATTAAGCAGCCACGTCAATTTTGTACATTCTACTACTTCTACAGCTGTCCGCCTACGACCGTGCTTTATAGCTTCGATTCTCGAGGTTCCGAGTCACCTCCCTCAGCTCTTGCCTGGTCACGGAGTACCTTTCTTAGTATCTTCCCAGACTTGATTATCGTCAGTCCACCATTTTTACCACACAATGGGTAAGGAGACTTACGGGATTCTTCGGGATAGCTTCGACGAAGCGCACACCTCCAGTCAGCCTTTTGAACCGGGAAACTCTTTCGGCTGCCCAATCTTGAATTTCTTTGGCCGTCGCCATTGAACCCTGCTGTAACACAGCATAGGCTCGAGGAGCCTCTTCGCCTTTCCTAGGATACATTAGCACAGGGTCGTCCTGATGGTCTCGGAGTACTTACACTGTCACTCCTATTATTGCTACATCTGCTATAGCGGGATGTTCCAATAGTAAAGACTCGATTTCTGCGGGCGCAACCTGAAGACCTTTGACCTTAATCAATTCCTGAAAACTAAGGTTTAGTATCTCCAATCGCATTTACTTGCTAATCAGTTGACTTACTTTTTTCCGATCCACTATGTAAAGGTGGTTTGTCTCGTCGAAACGCCCAATGTCACCCGTTTTTAGCCATCCGTCTTTTGTTATGGTCTCCTTTGTCGCTTCTGTGTTTCTCCAATAACCCTTCATGACACTCGGCGCGCGGATCCACACTTCGCCTCGTTCGCCGTGTTTCACCTCGTGTAGCCCGTCCTCATCGCTTACAATCCTAACTTCACAGTTCGGTGCCAGTTCTCCAACAGCATTTGACGTGGAGATAGTCGCTGGGTGGAACGTGCAACCCGTCAGGGTCAGCCTGCCATAACATCAGAAAAGCCCAATAATTCCCAAAGCTCAAAACACAACTCACTCGGTCAATCCCCATGCCTGCTTCACATTCACACTTCCGTTCTTCCATAGCTTTTCAAATTCTTTGCAAACCTCCCTTCCCAACGGCGCTGCAGCACTGATGACGCGCTCAACAGCACTAAGATCGAACTTGCGCGTCGCGGGATGTTTCGCCATGGCGACTATAATAGGCGGCACGATGAGCAGATCTGTAATCCGGAAATTCTGCGCCGCCTCAAGCATGGCAATCAAATCAAATTTCGGCATTATGAAGATGGGAACCCGCTGGACGGGGCCTTGGAAACAAAACAGCACCTGTCCCATCGCATGGTACATCTAAGGGTGTCAGCAACATGCCGAAAATTCGTGTATACGATACTTACTGGCAAAGCACAAAGTTGCCGGCTTCTTGCAATCTTTGCTTTATACTCCAGGTCCAGGGAAAAGACGTGGATCCCCTGAACGCAATTGGAGACGTAGTTGCGGTGCGTTATCATGACTCCTTTTGGCACACCTGTAGTTCCCGAGGAGTAGTTCAAAACGATAGTCCGATTGAGGAAATCGTCCGTATCCTGGTTTTCCCACGCAAATCCACGTCCGTCGTCGTCGGATGCCAACAGAGTCGTCCAGTGCCGGATATTCCCTCTACTCTTCCCTCGCCCCTCGAATGTCGCGGCCCCGTCATCGAAAGCAAAGACATTGTCCTCGCTCAGTCCAACCGCTTTCGCAGCTTCAATCCCCGTAGCAAGGCTGGCCTCTGAGCAAATCAGGAACTTCGCCCCACTGTCTTTGAGTTGGTAAGCTAGCTCTCTGACCACGTAAGACGGATTGGCACCTGTAAAGATGCCGCCAGCCATGACGATCCCCAGTATTACCACGGGGAAAAACACAGAGTTGCCTGAGAAGAGCAGCACGCGTTCTCCTTGCGCGAGCCCAGCCCGTTGGAGACCGAGTGCCAGCCGTTGGGACCACAGACGGTAGCCGGCATGGCTCAGAAAATGGTTGTCTGGATTTGCGGTTGAGATGAGAGCAGAAGTTGTGGGCAGAGGCGCGGTGGGTGAGTCGAAAAGGTAGGTGGGAAGTGAGATGCGAGGAACTTCGATTTGCCATCGGGATCTTATAGGCATGTTGGAGGAGCTTGATAGAGAAGGTTGATTGGTTGAAGCTTGGTTTCTTGAGACCGTTTGGCGGTATAGCCTGCAAGGGTACCTAGGAGCGTTCGATGCCCTGGGATACCTTTTCTTGCTGTTGCTGAAACCCTGTTGAAATACTCTCGAGAGTACACTACAGCCGTGGGTATACAAAATGACACGCTGCAGCCGTAATAAAATGCAGTTCTTCGATGGTGTGACAGATCCAGTAACCCAAGCTAAGACTTTGCTGATACAGAAATCCACTCTGACGGGGGGCTAGAAAGCGCTTTGAGCCGAGAAATCCGCCGCAGTAATCGCCAAATGGAGCACGGATATTCAAACTGAAAGTCAGGGTACAGCAAGCCTCCCACTACAAAAAACACCTTCCGCAAACGCAAACGCAAACGCAAACGCAGCAAAAGACTCGGAGCACAAAGTCAAGGGCGCCGTCGTTGCTTTATCAGCCCCCAGTCGCTCCAGACGCACGACGCGGCGTCCCCGTGCCCGTTAATGCACACCAACAGTTTTTATATCCTCAGCATTTCTGTGAATGGCTCAGAGGCGAATTTTCAAGGCGTACGACCCGCATTCATCGCCTGCCCCGCGAGCAGGGGCAGGCGAGGGCTGAGAGAAGCGAGCGTGGCGCTTCGCCGGCCAGTCCTGCCGGTGGAGAATGCCGCGGTTAGATGTGCTTAGAGACACTAGTGAGGGCGGTGCAGGATGATTGGAGAGAATCTTGATGGATTCGTGTGCGAGAAAGATGCGATGCATGGATCGCTAAGGCCTGGAGGTTTCATGTGAATTCATGATCTTCATGGAAATCATACAGCCAATTCGTGAGTGATAGCCCAAAAAGTTGCATCGGAAGATACATCCAAGAAGAGTTCGTAATAGCTGTTGATGAGAAGAGCATATCTGACATACATCGTGCTCAGGTTGGGTTATCGGGTCATGCTCCATAAAGAGTATTTCTCCGATGTCGTATAAGATAACAGCGGACATGTATCCACAATACGAAAGCACAGTTTCCTTGCACAGTACAGCTTTCTGATGCCGCTTGTGTTGTTTCAATGCGGTAACAATTACCTGGAGCGACGGATTACAGGCCCGGTCTCTTTCTGTGTGCGCCTTTCTGCCATCGTTTGAAGTAACTCGGCGATGTTTCAAACTAATCGAATGGACACATCTTTTCCATTTGCTCCCTCACTCTTCACATCAATGGGATTTCGTTTGGTATTGTAGAATCAATAAGGCAAACGGCAATAACACACCAGCCATGAAATCTTATATCATGTGGCGCCTAGTCCTCCGTCCACGATGGAAAAAGATAAATAGAGAGCAAACCGAGACTAAGGTAGAATATTTGGGACCAACGACTTAATGGGCAAGTTTTCTCAGGTCATCGAAATCAAGTAGCACCCAGAAAGTTCCTTCTATAAAGCAGTCGCATTAGCTGTCCTCTCAACTACCACACCAACTCACACAGCTTAATTCGTAGAGAATACATCGACCTCATTTTTGAGTATCCATCCCAGTTTCCCAAAGTCGAATAGCGGACAAAGAAAGCTTCGTAGAGATACAAGCATTGCAACAGCTCATCATCGGCAAGTGACTCCAAGAATCCTCCCAAGAATCCGACTGCGCTAATACCGTATTATTAGAAAGCGCTAGACTGCAGTGGCCAGAAAGTAGGCACATACTGTGAAGATATACGAAAAGCCTCCAGAGCAGGTCTGGCTTGCCGCTGTATTTCATAAGACTAAGAATCCTACCAGCGGCCAATGGGTAAGCGAGAACTATTCTAGTAGCGCTGCTACCTGGGATCGCCTCGGAACATTACGACGGTTGTTAGTTGTTGTTGAGGAGGGCGGCAAGGACGTCATGGCAAGTATATATTCTTCTCGGCGTAAGCTGATGTTGAACGTGCGGTGAGAGGACCGAGTCAACCAAAGAACCACCGGAATGGGTAAATTGCAGGTGGACAATAAAGGCAGAGCTCATGGGAACCTTTTGAAGCAAACCAAACCCAGAGCGCTGTGCACCAGTGAGTTTTCTTCAATAGTTTTATGGCCAATGGGTTTGCGATCATTTGGTTTGATCCCAATTAGTATGTCGGAACGGAAAGACAAACGTGATAGTATGACTAGAAACAAGTTTTGTATGAAGGAATTGCGCTCGCTGTTGGCTGAAGTCCGTCTGGAATAGCTGACCGATCGTCATCGAGAGATATTCCACGTCCAGGTACCACGTCGTAAAATGGCAACGATCGAGAGCTTCCTAGAGATTCAAGCCTTGAAACAGCTTATTCGTGGCAAGTGATCCCACAATACAGGAGGCTTTCCAAATTTGCCACTCTGCTAAGACAGCAATCAGAAAGCCCTAAGTTGAAAGGCCAAAGAATCAAGGATCTCGCGATTAGGACGTACAAGCACTCCAAGCATCCAGTGTGGCTCGCAGAGTTGACGAACGAACCCGAAGGCGCTCTACACATAACTAGTCCGTGCAGGGAGCCGACTCGAAACTGTTGGTTTGAGAACCTTCCCTTGCATATTCAATCAGTTTGCTGGTTTGCTAGACAAGCTAGACAAACCATTCCTTTGTGCTGAACACCTATATCAGGCGTATCATTAGTTCGTAGATAGATCATCACTTTGAATCATATCATTCACTATCACTCATTTGGTTCAACAGAAACCCTGCAATTTCTGCTAGCTCATATCGAGGAGACTAGCGGTCGAGAGATAATGGCGAATCGCTCTTCGGTTCGGCGACGTCTTTTAGAACAAGGAGCTGAACGAATATCGAGAGGTCAGTTTTAGTGTGGACAAATCGGCACCTTTGAAGTGGAGGGGGTACGAATCTTGGTTGCAGCGACAAGAGAAAATCGTTTTGATGATGGATTCTATCTAGGAGTGAACCTTTTCATGTCTTCGCATCCACCCTCGTACTCTCGGAGTGCCGGTACGGCGTCTCGTCATAGATGCACATACACTTTCTTTTCACTGCTTGTGATCCCTCATTGTATTTTGAAAACTCGGAGTTGGAAGGAATCTCAGGGTTCTGGCCAAATGATGAGCTCGTGAGGCTACCACAGTTAGAGGCAGAGGGACGTATACACACCAACGAGACACTATAATGCCACCGCTAGAATTCCAAAAATACCACAGCTATTGAAACAGTAGCACATACAATCCAGCTGTACCCTACTCGTGTAGCCGTGTTAGAAACTGGCGGTGGCGGTGAACTTGGACTCGTTCCTGGGGTGAACGCGTTGACTTCTAACGATTGCACACCTCCTTTCACACTTTCCAATGGCGCGACGAAAGCCATCTGGCTCCAACTGAACAGCGTATTTCTGCCTCCGAAAACGAACACCTCGAAGCGCCCCACAAAGGTGCCATTGACCCATACTCTAGAGCCTCCGATCACATCACCGGTAATGACAATATCAGCTGGGACGGCCACCGTGACCGGCACATGCGTTGAACTGGTTAGATTCGTCCAAATGCGCCCAGGCATGCCCGGATCAAAGCCATCGGCAATATTGGTCGATCGGAGCGGATAATCCCATCCATCGGACGTGGTGAAAACTAATGTACCATTTCCAGACAGTGAGAGAGTCGTGTCAGGCCCCGATAAAGTGAATGGGCCAGTGATGGAGAGCGAGAGGGAGTAGTTCATGCCCTTGCTACCACGTCCTAGCGTGATAGTGTCGTTGTTTGAAGTCGATCGGGCCCACGAAAAGAGTGAACTGGAGGCCTTACCTTCGCCGGGGAGCTTCCTATCGAGATTTTGGCCAGGGGCATTAGAAGAGAGGAACTCAATCGAGGCGTCTGAAGTGTCCGGAACAACCACTTGCCCTCGTGATCCTGACCAAGCCTTTGCTCCTACGATGGGTATACCCTTACGCATAGCGTAATATGCCTCAAGCTGAGTGGTAGCGTCAACACCGTTATCATTCCACGTGGCCATGATTGCACCTTTGTTGCCCGATACATTACTTGAGAGCTGCTCTGTTTTATTGACATAGTTGAATAAGGCTGGATTCCATTGCCAGTCTGGCTGGTTCGCAAAGTTCAAGACGCGGGATACATTGTAGAACTGTGGATATGGAGCAGGGTTGATGGGCATGTGGTCGTTCTTTAAGGACATGTAGGCCCACCAATCTTCGGAGTTGATGAGTTGATATCCGTCGTTATGCAGCTCAACAGGATCCGACTCTCCGTACTGCCAATGCTGTATAATGATGTCCTTTGAAATGGTGAGATTTTTAGAGGGCTCGTTCGTGCCCCAAATCCGAATTTTCTTGCCAGATGTGGAGTTGACGAAATCAGAAATTTCATTCACGAACCGAATGTAGTCATCTGCGAGCGTGGAATCGTATTCGTCAGCACCAATATGGACTTCCTTCGTTTGGAACCATGGTAGAAATTCGGCCCATAGGCTCTTGACGGTGGGAATACTATCAGGGTGTGTTAGATTGAGGAGATCCTTTGTCGCCAATGCAAGCTCTGGCTTCCATTTGGTGATGGACAAACAGTGACCAGGAGCTTCAATCTCTGGTATAACCGTCACACCTCTTTGCGCACAATGCTTTTGGAAGTCCTCGAAGTCGACCCGGGAGAGAGTTTCATTTGGCCTCTGCACGATCCCTTGGAGGTCAGGGTTTTCTGGATACAAGGACTTCAGGCGGAATACAAATTAGTAAAAGTTCTAGGAAGGGGAGCTTGGCACTCACGAATTGACTGTAAACTAAGTTCCACGTCTCGTTGTGTCCGCGATTTAATGGGTAATTGTCGCTTGCGTGATAGTGAAATTCTGACATCTTAAAGAATGATGCATATGTGCATAGATCTTTCAAAAAGGACGGCGCGTACCACTTCCTTCCCGCATCTAGCATGAAACCTCTAGTCGAGTATGCAGGTGCGTCTGTGATCTTTCCACCGGCAGGAATAGAGGATCCATTCGCAAGGAGAAGTTGTTGGAGCAGCGTTCGGGTCCCCCACCACATTCCACGAGCACCTTGTCCCCTTATGAAGACGCTGGAGTCTTGCACTTCGAGCTCGTATCCTTCCTCGGTGACATCTCCATTTTCATACTTCAAGGCAGAGGTATTACCCCCAAGTGAGCCGAGGAATATCCCAGATCCATCCATGGGCAGCACTCCAATGCGTTGAAGGGTCCAATTCGTTCCGGTAATCTGCTCGAGGTCTTCGAGAAATGTCTCTGCAAATTCGTATGCGGAAGGCGGAATAAGCGTCAAGCCTCCTGTATCAACATGAGAGGCAAATTTGCTCTCAATGTAAATAGTTTTAGCCGATGTAGCGATGGAGAAAGCGCCAGTGGAGACGTTGAGGCTCCATTGAACTGGCGGCAAAAACTGCAGAGCAGATACGGCAGAGACAAGGGCGGAGAATCTCAGCAACATAATGAGGGTGTATGGGAGTGTTCGGCGGCGGGCGATGCCTGCACTTTATCATGATGATATCGGGGTGGATTGCCATGTATTCTGAGGGCAAGATAAAGGGCTACACAAGATTGTAACCGGGACATTGGGACGATCTGCGGGTTGAGGTGGTAACGCCGCTTATCAAGTGCGGAGCTCTCAAGTTAAATGTAACATCCAAGAGAGCCAAGAGATTGTGGGAAACAATCATCAAAGAAAACGGTACTTACTCGCGAAGAGTGGGATAGCAGTCAGTAGCTTCATCTAGGGAGTTAACAGTTACATCGTTCTCGTATGCTTGTCTCTTGCCTCGGGTAGCACATCCTAAGTCATGGGCGGCCACAGATGCTACTCGCAAGGACAACGAAGCATTTCGGCTTCATCGCCGACACAATCGTAGTGGAGATGGTGGTGCACAGGGAGACGGAGTTGTGGCAGCGAGTGTAATTAGCTCAGCGGTGCGAGCTTATGAGTCACGTGACCTGTTTCAAAAGAGACATCCCGACCAAGGTGTATCTATGTAACCCTGCTCACGCTTTCCTGCTATTTTGTATGTACCCTGAACGTATGTTACGTGGTTAGACGTAGGTAGTTCATCGGTGCGAAATTCAGTATGCTAGAAAGTCACCAGCTCTAGGAACTGTACGATGTTATTCAACCTTCTCAACCTCTCTCCCATAGTAAGCCAGTCCATCACCTTTAAAGACAGATAGCACAAACAATCTCGGAACAGCCATCTTCTAGAACTTCCACGTATATGAAGCATATGTTGCGGTGCTACCTCAGCTACTTTCCTTGATGACCTGTTCCATCGCTTTCACATACTCTTCTACTTCCTTCGCTCCCTGTAACGTGAAGTCTCTCCTCTTTCCCTCAAAAACGACATACGGCACTGCGTCAACGGCATTTCCTGCCTGCTCTCTTATCAACATCTTGACATCTTGTAAGCCCTCATACTCGTCTTCTATAAATGCCTTCGCTTCAGCCTCGGGAACACCAGCTGCAGCAGTGGCAGCGAAAAGAGTCTCCTTAGAAGAAGGATGCTGCTCGTGTTCGAAATACTGGCTGTATAGCGCTGTCGAACTCACTCGTAAGCCTAGTTCTGCGGCATCTTGAGACCACTCCCAAACGGGCCATACTCACATTCCACAGCTTTCCTAACTCCCTCCTCGCCCTTGGTTTCTTGCACCCACTGCAGCACCCTATGCGCATCGATCGTGTTGGCTACTGTTCCGCCGAACTTGAAGTCGATGCCGCAGCTCTTCCCGTACGCGCTCATCACGCTCGTGTACATCTTCATCTTCTCCTCCGAGTCTCCGTATCGGCTCTTCTTGTACCATTCGTACTTGTCCTCGCCCTCTTTCGAAGCCTCCGGGTAAAGTTGGTATGGGAATATCTTCAGTGTGAAACTAACAGGGGGAAGTGGAGAGCGAGAACGGAGTTGATCTAGGGCAACGCTCAGGCGGCGGTAGGCCAGGTAGGTCCTGGAGAGCAGTTAGTTACGTGGCATACATGTCTGATCGGGCGGTAATGTGGAATGGCTATTTAGCCAGAAATTCACAGGAGACGACATGAATCAGCGTCCACTAAGGAGAGCTTCGTGAAGTAGATGCATCTACTGAGTGAAACGTGTCACGAGAATGAGACCTCCGAAAGGGGCGCTCCGGAAATAAGATGAAGCTGCTGGGTGCAATTACCAAGGACATGTTGTGTCGAGCGTGAAAGATATTTGAGAGTCGTAAGTCATGACGATCAACTATAAAAAGGGAACGTGAATTGTGAAGGATACTTCTCGTTAATCTTAGACTACCTTGAATTACTTAAAGCCTAAGCCGGGTCTAGGATGAGTTTATATGCCGCATCCTTGAGCTGTTCTTTGAGGTACACCCCGCAGCGGACCTGCGGCTCTTTCGTCATGCGGGGTTGGCACTTTATATGCGCTAGTGCACGATGAGAATATACTTTACTTATGATTACTTTTTCGGTATGATAAGCGCTATGTTCCCTGCTCTATCTGAACTTCATATCAGCAGAATAAAATATCATGATTATAAGTTGCTCGTTCGCTACAGTCTACTTTGAAGCTTGCCGGCCATCATACCTCGCGAGAACCAGACCATTACGTGCTAGCCTACGTAATTCATTACCTTCCTGTATACTTCTTCTCCACAATCCTTGCCACAGGATACACGATCAACGTGAATGCCGCACTTAAATAAATACCCACATCGCCTCCAAACCCACCGAACTTGGCCGCAATAGGACCAATGTACCAAGTCTGAGCCTATGCACAATGTTAGCTCAGTTCTCGCTAGCATTCTTATGCTTAAACTTAATAAAAACTTGAACATACCATTCCAGTGACACCGCCCGCAAGATATCCAGTCAAGAGTGCGAGCACCGCCGCACAGCCCCACGGCAGAGCGTGCGGCTTATCCCACACAGTGAGGTCGTAGCCGGAGCGTTTGCGGAAGAATTGATCTTCGATGAGCAGGACGAGTGTGAAACTAACGGTCCAATAGCCGAGGAGGCTGACGAAGTTTGAGACGATAGTGGAGAGGTGTTCCTGGCCCGCAATGGCGAGAACGGCGATGACGATGACGAACAGCAGCGACCAGATCAGCCGTGGCACGGCGTGGAAGTAGTGGCCGAGGAGTTGGAGCGAAAGACCCGAGGAATAGTTGATGGCAATGTTGTTGCCGAGAACGGAGAAGGTGAGCATAACGAGGCAGAACTTGGACCAGCCGACAGGGTGGTAGACTTCATAGATCAGGCCACCGAGGCCGTGATTACCGTAGGCGTCAGCGTATGGGGGATATGCGACGGATACCGCGGCGTTGCCGAGACAGCAGCCTATCACCACGGACTAGAGAGGCTCTGTCAGTACTTGTATGCGTTGGGCTGGAACGATTTACTCACGAAGGTGGTGGGAAGGACGATTCCCCACCAGGTTAGAGTGAAAACCTTCCATGTCGGGGTCTTAGATTGGCATACACAGGTTAGCAGAAATTCACAAGCAGGGGGGTAGGTTAGGACAGATTCCAAATCCTCTGCAGTCAATTTTCCTTGAGCGCCACTCAAATCGGGTTCAAGACACCACTTTGACTTAAGCTAGTGCTCAAAGTAACTTAAGTGCGTATTCAACCACCATTTGAGTCGTGGTTCAACAACGCAGTTCCAGGAAAATTGACAGTAGAGGACACTGATGTATGTACTGGGATCTTACTCACATCAGCGGGAAAGTTGCAGTAGTAGTCGGCTGCTATACTGCACCAACCAGAGGCGTTGGAGAAGTTGATGGACAGGATGGTCAAGAAATTGGCGGCGAATGTGGTACCAGAGCTGCCATCTAGTCCTGGAAGGCTAGAATCAACATGCGGTGCTGCTTGACCGATGAGAACGCAGAGGAGGATGAAGGTTCCAATCCATGAATACTTCTCGAACGTGTGGATGACTTTGAATCCAAATACGCAAAGAACGTAGGAGATGACTGCTATGATCACAATGCCGACCGTGATAGACATAGTGTAGTCGCTCACCGCGTTGAGGATCTGACCTACAACGACATAGTTGACAACAGCGAAGCCGCCTCCGACAACAACGTTGAGAACGGAGCAGAGCTTTGCGCCCCAGAAACCGAAGGAATAGCGAGAGGTTGCAATTTGACGAAGGCCAAGCTATCGATATGCAATTAGTGCATTGTCTGGGCCAGTGTTTGGATGCTGTATTACCTTTGGGCCTAAAGTCCCGGTGAACGCAGTGCACAGTGCTCCAAGCATAGTTCCCACTACACTGGCAGCAATGGACTGCTTCAGCGACAGACCGAATTCAGGACCGAGGAGCCCCAGTGGAACAACTCCGACGTGAACATTCAGCGACCACCACATCAAGAAGATGTTCCAGATGGAGGGAGGCTGTTTCTTTTCCTCCGGGATGCGGTCCACGCCCTGCGTCTCAATGCCCATCTTGGCGTCGAGCCACTCCTCTCCTTTTTTCAGATATCGAAGGACAGGGTTGCGACTCTGGATCTCCTTCGCGCGGCGTATTTCTTCGATAGATGCATCGTCGACGTCGGGAGCGCTCACAACTTCGGGCCCTTTCGCAGCTTCTGCATCGAGGTTCTCTTTCTCGAATTCCATCTTTCAAGAGAGCAACTGGGGATGGCAAAGGTGTCTTGGGCGCCTCTAACGCGTATTCGAGGAGGAGAGGCGAGGTATCAAGGGATGCAGCCGAGCGAGTTGATGTTGAAGTTTTGTTAGGGTTGGGCAAATGAAAAAGCGCAATGGGGTCGCTTAGAGGGCTGAAATGGTGAATGTCTTCACTGGTAGATCCTCTCAACTCTCGGCCAATTTCAGTATCGCGATGAGATGGGCGTTCCGCAGGAAGGAACAAAGGGAGAAGAAACAGCGGATTGCGCCTCGGCGTACTTGAAGAACGAGGTCGCAAAGTATGTACCTACAGCTAATCTATCACGAGACGGAGGTGGCCGTACTTATCACCCGGGAACCGCGAAGGCCAGATAACGACGACGCGCTTGTTTGGACGACCAGTCGCCGTGCTTCTGGAACGCTTTCCATCATTCCACTGCAGTCCTAGCGCGTAGGGGATGCGAGATCAACCAAGACACCTTCTTGTTTAAGCAGGGTCCCGTCGACGATCGCTGGGCTAGATACCGGGTGATGGGTAGGAGTTCCCAGGCGCCCCACGATACGGCCCTTGTGCTCTTGAGGCTATCAGAGCGGGAAGCTGGAGAAGGAAGCTGGCAAACGATAAGCACGCTAAGCTTCCTTCAGAATGCTTGCATGCTATGCTTGGAGTTACCGCTGATGCGCTTGGCTGAAGCTTGTAGATTGCGAGTGGGGGCAAACAGAACCTCCGCCTCCACATCTAGGTATGGAGACCGGAATTGCCGATGGCCATGCTGAGGAGAATGTCAGCTCTTCCTGGGCTCGTACACTCAGCTTGGCACGCACAGTTTCACTCATAACAGGACAGCGTCGTCTGAGGTGGCCCGACAAGCCTTGCAACTTGCTCACACTGTTTCATTTGAATCTTTAAAACCCGTTGAGGCATGTCAGAAAGCGGCAGAGCGATATCTGATGCGTGAGTTTTCTTCGTGACACAGTAATAGAGATCCGATTACACTGTCAGCGCTATCAGGGTGTAATCTATCCAGATTTGGGCACGCCAAGACAAGTTCCCCTTTTCCTGTACCACGACAGGCCTCACAACGTCAATCCTTTGTCAACAGCTCTGTCAAGTTCAATACGGAAGGAATCAATTCAATCAATGCCCAAATGTTGAACCTATTAGATCCCCGACTAGTCTCTGGGCAGCGCTATCATCAGGGAGTTCTCCCGTAATCTGGCGTAATAACTTCATCGCCGAGCCTCTCAAGAACCAGCAGTAACGCTCAGCTCGCTCGACCAACAACAACCAATGAGCGAGCACAATGAGCGCAGCGGGACTCTTGTGCAAAACCATCTGGTTGAAGCGATCCCCTAGCATCCTCAACCACGACGCCATGCCCGTCCATACCGCTCCCACATCATCGGACGCATAGCTCAAGGAAAAGCATTCGACCAGTGTATCGATAGCGGAAAGCGTGGAAACGAAGTCTAGGGCATTGTCCGGTTTTTCTAATGCCTCTGCCATGCGATACGGGAGAATGCGGAAGCGATACAGTAACGCAGGGGGCACGTTACCGGAGACTCCAGCATCTGAGCTTCCTCCCGAATCTGTGGTGGCTCGAATCCACGTTTCCTCGGGCACGTCATCGCTGCTGACTGCGGAGCGGAGAGCGAAGTTAGGGTCGATACAGCCTTGAACAGTCGTTGTGAATGACTGCAAATCAAAAGGTGCTGGTCCCGGAATCAGTCCTTGACTGAGCGCTGGTATTTCAGACGTCCAATGGCAGCAACATTGAATGCAATGCATCTGCGCGCCCGCCTTCGCTTCCTCGAGTCTGGCCACGCTAGGATCACGCAGTACCTCCCCCCATCCAGCGGAGAATTCTTGAAGAAACTGCGCCGATCGCTCCCGATGCACTCGCTTGGTTGTCTCGTCGTCCAAAAGCGCCGCCAGATGACTTGCGGAGATAGCTAGCAACCCACACGTTAGCCAGCGCAGCCGCAGGGCTTGTGCAACCACATCCATCTGCCAGTACTTTACGGGCTCACCATTCCTGGCAGGAAGCGTGAGACTCGTCGTGGTCGTGAAATGGTGAAAGTACCTCAGCGTTTCCAGGTCTAGGTTGCACCGAGGGCCTAGAGGGAGTATGGATGCCGGTGTGGGAACGCGGTTGAGAGAATGCTGGTGGGCAACTATCTCCTGGCCAGTGACCAGCTGCCCAGGTGACGCGACCTCAAAGTACTTGATTTTGGTTCCCCGAAAGAAAGTCTGAAGATTTACGGAACGAGCACAGGACTCCGGAGGATCACTCACGCCATGATTTTCGCTCCAATGGCGTCTCATCCGCTTAGAGCTGGCACAGAGACTTTCACAGCCGATGGCCGTACATCTGTAGCCTGAAATGACGGGCAGTCCTTCTACCGGTGACAAACTCACGGGCGGAAGTTGAACATCGTCCGGCTCTACAAGTTCGAGTTGAGCGATGGAGGATAATAATCGCTGTCTTTCTCCGCGATAGATCTTGTGCCGAAGTAGATGGCTTCCTAGGGCGCTCTTTTGAATGGCGTACTTGCATTCTCGGCAAATCAGCACGCTATACCTCGCGTTATACTCGAGCAAATCACTTGTGCCAAACGTGATGGACATGGTAGTGTCAGGCTTCGTTGAACATAGAGTAGCAGTCCAGCGCCGTCTGGGGTGACCCGGAGAGCTATCAGGCTTACCAAAACAGTCGCTTTACAATTTTCGACAATGTCCTGGAGGACCCCAAACAGTGGTAGACGAGCGTACGCAAGCCCAGAAGAGTGTGTGCCTTAGGATATTACGTTTGGAAAAGGACTTCGTACGTATCCTTGACTGCTACGTTATGTTTAACGGAGCCTGCGTGTGCTGCGAAAGGTGCATCCGAAAGCTGAATGTGAGCTTGACTGCCATGAGGAAGAGGATCAGAGAGTTGTAGGAGGAGTGTGGGAATCGAGGTTGGGAAGACGAGGTTGAATCGAACAAAGACGCACTTCTGATTGGCTAGAAGAACGTCAAAGCTTCCCCATCGCAGTTCCTCATATGCTGTTCTGGCATTTACCCGAGCCATGATTCATAATAAAACGACGTGTGAGGTTCTGCGACGACTGATTCTATTCAGGTACATACGAGTGCGATCAATAAGCGATTTCGCAGTGGGCTTTGAAATCCCATTGTTGTTGCAATGATGTTGCATATGGCGAAGCTAGCTTCACTAGGGTCAATTCCAGATATATAAAAGGTCACCAATTCTCTCTGCTACTTCTTTCCTACCACATCTTCACTGTCTTAAAACCTTTCTTCTAGCCATTTCTCCCCAATCACGTACCAAGACGTAGCCAAGAATGACATCAAACCAAGCCGCATGGCTTCACAAAGCCAACACTTCCCTGGAGGTAGGCGAGGCACCCATGCCGACCGCCGGTCCCGACGAACTCGTTATTAGAAACGTTGCTGTTGCCATCAACCCCTTGGACACCCATATGCAGAAGGCCGGCGTCTTTGTTCAGCAGTGGCCCGCTATCTTTGGTTGCGACGTGGCCGGCGAAGTCTACGAAGTCGGATCAGAGGTGCATGGGCGCTTCAAAAAGGGAGATCGCATCATCGGGTAAGGCACCTCAAGAGCTTGATGCCCCAACTAGCACACCTGGACTAATGATGGGATGATATAGACACGCGATTAACCTAGTTAGTGGTCGACCTCAGGATGGGGCGTATGCTCTGTACACGGTTGTGCCGGCGAACAAAGCTGCTATCCTCCCCGATACCATCTCGTTCACCGACGGGGTGGTAGTACCCTTTGCCTTGGAGGCGGCGGTATGCACGCTCTCGCTCAAGCAGCCTGGGACCGCAATGCCTGGCGTGGCTACACCTGCTCTCAGCTTGCCGTATCCCTCGCTGGAGCCCACCTCTTCAAACAAAACGCTCATCGTGTACGGCGGATCTTCTTCCGTCGGCTCCATGACAACCCAGCTAGCGACGGCAGCTGGTATCAAGGTTATATCTATTGCCAGCGCGCACAACTTCGACTTGTGCAAGACCTGCGGCGCGGCCGAGGTCTTCGACTACCACAACCCTTCGTTCGTCGAGAGCGTTATCGAAGCAGTCGCCAAGTCCGGACAAGAATTCGTAGGCATCTTCGACGCTATTTCCACGCCCGACACATATGCGAACGATCTTGCTATCCTCGCCAAACTAGGCGGAGGTCATCTGGCATGCGTTCATCCCCCGCCCGATAGCGTCCCGGAGAACGTAAAAGCGGGCATGATTTTTGCCGTGAATGATATTGCCACTCCCGTTTGGAGGGACTATGTAACGTCCGCATTGCAGGCGGGGAAGCTCAAGTGCCTTCCACCCCCGTCCGTCGTCGGGAAGGGCTTAGAGCAGATTCAAGAGGCGCTAAAGAAGTGCGAGACTGGTGTTAGTGCGACTAAACTTGTGGTAGATCTTTAGTGAGCGGTATAATTTACATGCCAATTCAGCAAATTATTCGACAGCGTCCAATGTACAGTCTCTCAGCCTTTATATCGTGTGAAATAATTCTCGTATAGGTGTGACGTGGCCTTGTAGGCGGCGTAGGTTTGCAAAATGGTAATAGACATGGTGTAACTCGACAGGGGTAGGACAGCTACGCTTGAGGTCTAATTCACAGTCTCTCGGCCTTGACCTTGTGTGAAATTACTCTTGTGTAGGCGTGAAATGCTTGATGAACGTAATGGGCCCCGTTGCAAATACTCACAGATCCAACCGCGTTCAATCACATTTGATAGCCGCGGAGGGGCCCCTTAGAGCGACATTTCGTCACAAATTCTCACCGATTTAACCGTGTAGATGGGAATCTAATAGATGCAGAGGGTACCCGACATGGTTTCTTTCAATCCCCAAAGCAACACGCTTTAAACCCCGTTCTAAGTCTAAAAATTTCTGACGCGAAGAAGAGTAGCTGAAGCGCCGCCGTGTAAGAAGTGGGTTGATTTGTTACAAGTTCTTACGAAATCAACCGCGTGATAGAACTTTAATAGACACGACATGACCTGGAGGGTGTACGACACGTGGTTAGATTCTATTACAGAAGCAACGGGCTGTATATTAGACCATCGAGAGAAATATTCTTACGGCAAAGACGAGTAGCTGAAGCACCACCGTGCAAGATTTAGGTTGACCGGTTGCAATTTTTTACAGAATCAACCGCGTGAAACGAGATTTGGTGGATCAGGTCGTTGACAATTCGCACCATTTGGTACATAGACTTGCAAATCGAACCGCGTGAAATGAATTTCGATGGGCCTATAGGCTGCGAATAGACATGGTGTAATCATACATGGCTAGGACAGCTAGTCTTACATGGGCAGCAATGTCATTTCTTAGTTGAGGCTTTCTCTCAGAAAGAGGAAACGTGACTTACCGGAATGATACATGCCCCTATCTATATACACCGCTCTAGCCCAGCCTGAGGTGACCTCACGAGTTTACCAACCGTTGAAAATGCTAAGAGTCGGAGTTTTGATAACAGCACGAGACGCCTCATGTGGTGGCAGAGAGAATTAGTGGTAACGCATTGTTGTTAATATCAGAGGCATGTTCCTTAACTCTTAACCGTCTTTGAATCTATCGAGTTGCTTTGAGCACTCATGTGTACTCCGGTCTAACTCCGTCTGAGGTGGCCTCACGGCGTTACGAGATGATCAAAATGCTAAGATACAGATTTCTGGAGATAGCACGAGGCACCTCATGCAGTGATAGAGAGGTTTGGTAATCATATATCGTGCGTGTGTATTATTGGAGTGTCTAACCTATTGAACCAATCAAACCTCAGTCACCATGCTCCTACTCTCCCGTAAGGCACACAGCTTCTGGATAGCTTCGTCGAGCGGCAAAACCGCTTGAGCCCCAGTAGAATCCCGAATGCGAATGCTCACTGAGCGATTTTCCATTTCTTGCGCACCTAGAACGAAGATGAAGTTGTATTGCAACAATTGACCGTTGCGGACCTTCTTGTTCAGCGTGTTCGCTCCGAGGTCAACGTCGGCGTGTATCTCATGCGATCTCAGGATTGTATGAACCTCCTTCACGTAGTCTGAAGCCGACGACATTACCGGAATAATGAGGACTTGGCGAGGACTCAGCCAGAATGGCCATTTGCCGCCGAAATGTTCAGTGAGAATGGCAATGAAACGTTCGAAACTGCCGCAGATAGCTCGATGAATCATAACGGGACGAGCATAGCCTGCGGCGGGCTCGTTCGTGGCAGCGGGCTGGACTGCTGAACCTGAAGCAGGAGCAGGAGTCGCTTCAGCACTCGCATCTGCTTCTTGAGCCTTTGGTTTTGCCGTGACCTCCGAGGTCATGTACTCGAGCTTGAAGCGCTGCGGTAGCTGGAAGTCGAGTTGGATAGTGGCGCACTGTCGAGATATTAATAGGATTGCGCGCGTCTGTGGCATGCCAGACTTACCTGGAATTGACGCTTAAGGGCGTCCATGATTGTGATGTCAATTTTGGGACCATAGAAAGCGCCATCGCCGGGGTTCAGTTCCCACTTGGCGTTTCCTTTGGCAGAAAACTCATCCAGTGCCCGAGCCAATTGTTGTTCGGCTAAATCCCAGGTTTCAATATCTCCCAGGAACTTGTCAGGTCTTGTAGACAGTTTCAACTTAAAAAGGAACCCAAAATTTCCATAAACAACTTGCAGGAATTCAAAGAGTCCGGAGATTTCTTCGCTGACCTGAGCTTGGGTACAGAAGATATGGGAGTCGTCTTGCTGGAAGCGTCTCACTCGAGTGAGGCCCCCGAGAGCCCCAGAAGCTTCATTTCTATGCAAGATACCAAAGTCTGCCATGCGGATGGGTAGCTCGCGATAGCTGCGTTCTCGAAATCCGAAGATCAAGCAATGGCCTGGACAGTTCATGGGCTTCAGAGCCCACTGATCCTTTTCGACTTCAAAGGTGAACATGTCCTCGTGGTAATCTAAAATAAGTCAGTTCCAGACTGATAGACTGTGATCAATACGTAGTCAGGTCACTTACGCTGCCAATGCCCCGACTTCTTCCACAACTCAGAATTGTACATGTTGGGAGATATGACCTCCTGGTATCCGCGTTTCCAGTACTCCGATCGAATAAATTTTTGAAGTGTGTTGTAAATTATAGTGCCATGAGGGAGGAAGAAGCAAGAGCCTGGCGAAAGTTCGTGGAAGAAGAAGAGCTCTTGCTCCTTTCCAATTTTGCGATGATCTCTCTTAGCAGCCTCCTCAAGGTACTTGAGATGCTCTGTAAGAAGCTTCTTGTCTGGAAAGGATATGCCATAGATCCGCTGGAGAGAAGGCCCCTTCGGGTCTCCCAAGAAGTATGATGCCGAGTGCTTCATAACCTGGAAAGCCTTTATTCGCCCAGTGTCAGGAACATGAGGACCTCGGCAAAGATCGATCAACGGGCCACAACGGTAGACTGTGGTGGACGTGCCGTCTGGGATCTTGTCCTTGATGATGTGCTGCTTGAAGGGGTTTGATTGAAACATCTCCAGGAGAGCTTCCTTGGTGAGAACGAGCCGCTCGAACTTCTGTCGTTCCTTGATGATTGACAATGAGAGGGCCGTAAGCGGCTCCCTGTCATCGTTGTGCACCGCTGCCTTCTCGGGTAATTCCATCTCGTAGTAGAAGCCCTCGTCTGTGGGTGGGCCAATGCAAAGATGACAACCAAATCGTCGCTCGGCAGCTTCTCCCAAGATGTGCGCCGACGAGTGCCAAAAGACCTTCTTTCCCTCCTCATTGTCGAAATCGAGGAACTCGAGTGAGGTGTCGGTCTCAAGCGGCCGCAATATGTCCCATAGCTCGCCATTGACCTTCGATATCACAGTACGGTCGAGCAGCGATTTGCTCAGTGACTTCGCGATCATCGCCGGTGTGGTCTCCCATGACTTTCCAACCTCAATTCGACCATCTGGCAGGGTGATCTTGATCGATTCGCGGGGCTTCTTGGCAACGTCGTCGTCATATTGAGCTTTGAGTTTCTCGAAGATAGCGATACGGTGGTCGAAGTAGGGCGGAGGAGGGCTAAGTTCGAGGGACTTGGATGCCCCGGGGCCGGGAGCCTTCTTGGGCTTTTTCTTCTGAGCAGGCTCAGCAGCCGGAGCCGGTGGCTGTTCGGCGCTGCGGTGAGGGAGGTCCATGGTGTTGCTGGTTTAATTGCTCCAGCAGGCGTTAGTTAAAAACCATCGCGGGCGTGAGTCACTTCCAAGTGACTCAAGCCAGTGGTGGGGTGTTTGAAAACATCATGACTCAGCCGCCGCAGTGTAACTTTTAACCTCAGCTGCAGGTGGTTACCGTTACGTGTTCAGCCGAAAGACCATATTCACATATTCAAAGCAAAATCACGGACACGCAAAGCATGATATGTAAAGTGTATCTAATTCGAATTATCCGAGCTGCACTCTATTACTAGAAATGACATCTCGGTGTACCACCTGCAGGTCCAAGAGCATTACGGTCAGTGTTGTCAACGCCCAATGCTAAAGTTACGAATGAAAGAGCCAATGATGCTCGTGCGCCAATCGCATCCTTTATGAATTAAGACGTACGTAATTCCCTAAAGCTAGTTAGAGGATTCACTCTTTACCGCAGATTATGGTCTTACCTGGAAATTGACCTTGCCGCCCATTGACCCTTCCAGTCCACCATTCCTGATCGTTTGAAGTCCTTGTTATGATCTCGATAACATCCCCGGTGGTGAAGCTCAGGTCACCCTCAGCTTGCGCCTCGTAATCATATAGAGCAGTCACCGTCTCTACGGCAGGGACGCCGCTAAGCCGCGACGGCTTGGGCTTTGGTGGAGGCGGTGCCGCACCCTTGGATTTCGCTGCAGCGCCCCAAGAGCTACCAGTGCTATTTGCACGGCCGACTCCGAATCCTCCAGCTGCAAAGGCAGGTGAAAGTGAGTTCTTCTCGGGATTTGGGCTGTATGGCGGGGGCGGAGTTTCAGTCGAATCCAAAGTTGACCGCCGTTGAGGGCCTGTTTTCCCTTCGATGGCGAGTTTGTTGCCATACTTCAGCTGCCCGGGTTTCCGGCCGCCTGTAGTCTTGTACTTTGTGATAGAGATAGCTTCCGCCTGCTCCTGAACGTCACCCCGCTTCTTCTCGAACGCTGCCTCGATATCAAGCGTCAAGTCGAAGTACCCGATGTCAATGCTCTGCATCTTCTCATGCAATGTGTAGAACACGTTCAGTTGCATGTAGTAGAAGGATTGGAAAAGGGGTCGGATGAACTCTCTCTCCAGCCGGAAAAGCTTGGGCAGTTCGTCCTTGAGCAAGTCGTTGAAGTAATTGAACTCCTGGGTGGCCTGTTCGACATCGTTCTCGGCCCTGTACATTGCCTTCTCGTCTTTGAGGGTCTTTTCCTTCTTGTCCTGCAACTTCTTCTGCGTCGCCCGATGGCGATCGTAGTCAAGTTGCTTGTGGTCACGTTTCACGGCCACCTTTCGAATAACCTTGATGATCTCCAAGAGTTCATCCGCAGGTCGTATTACCCTAGTTTCGATCATCTCCAGTTCTGGCTGGAGAGTTTCTTGGAGGTCGCGGACGATGGCCTCGTACTCCTCACACGCTCTTATGCCCTCAGGGTTTCCCTCTTGCACGAACGAGTCTGGATCCGACATGCGGCCGGATATAGGCTTATAGATCTCGGCGCATGCCTTGGAGAACTCGATCTGGTGGGTGAGCATTCCTAGCAACAAAGTCAGATATGTACGGTGGCGCCAAGTTGGGCTACAGACCATTTATGGCGTCGAAGTACCTAGGATATGTTAGAGCGCGCAGGCCACTGCCGTGTTTGGAGGCTCACTTTTTCGATTCATCGTGTAGTCTCTTCGTCTCCTTCTCCAACTCCTGGAAGCGTCTCTCGGCATCCGTGTAGACGGCATCCTTTGTGTTGTCGCCCTACCCCACATTCACGATCAGCTGAGGCTCAACTGGCGATGCCGGATGTCGTCGCGATGCGCAACGGCAGCAGAGGGAGGCGATCATACAAGGTTAAAGCGCTGCTTGATAGTTTGAGGCGCCTATGCATGCCGAGTTAGCCAGCGTCCGCAAGAGTTGTGGTCTCTAGGCAGAGTACGAACCCGAGTGACGCTCTTCGTGAGGCCCTTCCAACTCATTGGTCTTTGTGGGTGTCGCAGCGACGGCAGATGGGCTATAGTGGCAAGTTGAATATGCTGGATACTGTGGATAGAGGGGGGTTGAGGTGCTGTCTGGGAGTAGTGGGTGAGGTTTTGGGGAAGTCCGGGCTCTTTGAAGCCGTCGATGACATATGACGAAGGCAGATGTGGCTTAGCCAAGGGCACAAGGTCAAAATGCAGGGCGGCGGCTGGGCAGCGGCAAGCGTGGTGCTTTTTCTTCACTAACGCAACAGCTGTACATTTAGACAGCTTGAAAGCGAGCGTTTACAATGCACGAGACCGCAGGCCGCATGCGCAGAGAGCGATCAGACACAAGGTTCGCCCTCATTCGTGTTCGGACTTCTTTCGTCCTGTTTGCGGAGATGCCGGCGAGCCCGCCGCGCTAAGTGAAATCTCCATATCTGATAACCACCGCCAACCGAGGAGGCAAATCACCACCACTCCTCCATCAACCACCCTCCTACCACCCTCTAGGTTTTTTCCTTTCATCATGTCTAATATTGCGCCATCAGCAGCGAGGCAGGCCCTCCGTGTCTGCTCACGGCGACACCCATCTAGCTCGCTTTCCCGCTTCGCGCCCCGAGCCGCCACTGGATACCATGGACGAAGCTATGTCACAGAGACGAAGCCAGTCAATGCCACCATCAACGTTGACACGACCATCAAGGCAGAGCGGGAGGCGTTCATGAAGGAGACGGGGAGCAAGCCCGCCCATGAGATCATGCCAACCACTGGGCTCGGTGCTGATGCCATGCTGAGTCCCACGGCAGGTAAATTTCTCCGCCCAGCATCGGTTAACAAATGTCGGTAGCTGATTTACGACAGGTATATTGAAACAAGCAAGTATCATAGACGAAGGCACACGCCCCATTTATCTAGACATGCAAGCAACGACTCCGATGGATCCCCGAGTTGTCGATGCAATGCTGCCATACATGACGGGGATGTACGGCAACCCCCACTCGAGGACCCATGCGTACGGATGGGAGGTTGACAAGGCGGTTGAGCAAGCACGAGAGCACATTGCCAGCCTCATTGGCGCCGACCCGAAGGAAATTATATTCACCAGTGGCGCAACAGAGAGCAACAACATGAGCATCAAAGGCGTCGCCAATTTTTTCATGCGAAATGGCAAGAAGAAGCACGTCATCACTTGCCAGACGGAGCACAAATGCGTACTCGATAGTTGTCGCCATTTGCAAGACGATGGAGTAGAAGTAACATACCTGCCCGTGCAGAACAACGGTTTAGTCGACATGGCACAGCTAGAAGCCGCGATACGGCCAGACACCTGTCTGGTTAGCATAATGACAGTAAACAACGAAATCGGCGTGCTCCAGCCGATTGACGAGATTGGAAAGCTTTGCCGATCTAAGAAAATCTTCTTCCACACGGATGGCGCACAGGCGGTCGGAAAAATTCCACTCGACGTGAACAAGTCAAACATAGACCTCATGTCTATATCTGGGCACAAGATATACGGGCCTAAAGGCATTGGCGCATGCTATGTCCGCAGGAGGCCACGAGTCAGACTCGATCCAATCATTAGTGGAGGTGGCCAAGAACGCGGGCTGAGAAGTGGAACTTTAGCTCCATCACTGGTTATTGGGTTTGGCGAGGCGGCGCGAATCTGCAAAGAAGAGATGGCAGTAAGTTCGACCATTCCTTCGCTTCTGAATTCCTTTATGATTATTCGCTTTTACACATGCATGGCTTTCTGAGTGCCTGGATGTGAGCTACTATGGCCGTCTGGGCGCGATAATGTCACACAGCAAGACCTATGAATTGGAGATATATTCCCTGAACAGAATGAACGGATAAACATCCGGATCAGATGCTGACTAGAAGTAGTACGATTCGAAACGTATTGCCGCGCTCTCACAGCGGCTCCTCAGCGGTCTTCTATCTCTTGAACACACGACCCTCAACGGAGATGCTGCGCGCCATTATCCCGGCTGCGTGAATGTCTCATTTGCCTATGTCGAAGGAGAGTCACTACTCATGGCTTTGAAAGATATTGCTCTCTCATCGGGAAGTGCATGCACATCGGCCTCGCTCGAGCCGAGCTATGTACTAAGAGCCCTCGGAAGCAGCGACGAGAGCGCCCATAGCAGCATTCGGTTTGGTATTGGCCGATTTACCACCGAAGCCGAGATCGACTACGTTCTCAAGGCTGTAAGCGAAAGGGTCAGCTTCTTGAGGGAGCTTAGCCCGCTATGGGAGCTGGTTCAGGAAGGTGTTGATCTCAACACCATTGAATGGAGCCAGCATTGAGGCCCCGAAGTACTCGTAACGAACAGGCGTGATATGGGCTTGGATTATTTTGTTTTCCTGGGAGCTCCCGGGCGAAATGGACACTCGGACGTCCAAATGTGTATACTATCACTCTTTATTTTCATTCGCCGAAACTACATGGTTACGCGATGGAGCAAATAATGGACTACCTTTGTAGCGCCCACTCTTTGGGGATAATAGGAAGATATCCGCTCTTGACAAACTTAACTTCTGATTACTTGTGAGCCTCTAATGAAATTTCGAAGTATAAAGCATTTTGAAAGCCTAACACTGTTACAAATGAAGTTGAACCATCCGTGCCCACAGGTGACGATACGAAGGCTCGGCGAAGTGGGGGAGCCTTGTTCACCTTCCAATTAACTTTGACCTACTTCATAGAACACCACCTCAACTACATTCTCTGCGCAAGCCAACCCGACAAAGACAAGGCTTAAACTCGGCGACCTCAAAACAAGCACTATTCTTTGTAGTTCCCTATGGACTGTCGAACCTCACGCGCGACAGTCGTTCTTGAGCCTGGGTCGCAATATGGCTCCTGTGCCAGAAAAAATCCTGAACTGGCTGTACAGTGTACTTCCTAGTGTAAGCTTTCCACCTGTGTCCGGGTCTTATAATTGCACAGATCTAACAGACTCCCGAAGGAATATCCAGATGTGAACCGCACCTACTCCGACGTCGCCGAGACCCTCTCGCACTACCCTTCCCTGTCTCCAAAAACGGAGGTCTACAGTATGCAATACACTCGAATCCAACTCCGACCGGTCAGATACAAGGACTGAGGCTCACTTCTGTGGCAGCCTACGAAAATGGTGCATCCGCTCTGCTCTTACAACTTAGCGGGACACTTCCAGTGACCTTTCGAGGTGCCACATACGCGTTCCCTATACAACTATGGGTGCCTCATCGATATCCACAAGAGGCCCCCATGGTATACGTTGTGCCCTCCCAAGATATGCTTGTCAGGCCGGGCCAACACGTCAGTGGAGATGGAAGGGTATATCACCCATACCTAGCACAATGGGGCAAATACTGGGACGTAAGTCTAGAGATTCGGTTGTCCTGGATACTTATTCTGTACTCACTATATGCATTCAAATGAATCGTACTGAAATATCGCTTCCTAATAGAAATCCACAATTTTCGACTTCCTTGCTGTCTTGCGCGGCGTTTTCACCAAAGAACCGCCAGTCCGCTCGAAACAACAAGTACAATTCAATTCTTCCAACACGGCTCCAGCACCTCCACCAGTACCACCCACACCAGAGGAATGGCGTAGGTCAATGCAAGGTTCTCCTGCTCCGTCTCCAGCTCCTCTCCAACGACCTCAGCCACCACCCAAACCGCCGAAACCATATGAATCCTCTCCAAACCGGCCACTCCAGCAGCCAGAGGCACAGTACGATAGAGCAAGACCCCCTTCGACTGTAACATACGCACCACAAATACCCGAAAGACCATATGGACGACCAGATAGCTGGCAACAGCCCTCAGGACAATCTCAGGTAATACCCCAACGGCAACCAAGCTATGACACAAACCCGCCAACTCCATTGGGACGCCCTTTGAGGCCACATATACAATCACAGGGGTCACAGCAGCCTTTTCAGGCTGCTTCGTATGAATTAGGGAGCCCTGTTAGTCCCATCACTCCGGAGGGACAGCCGAGGAACTCGCTGTCTCGATACCAGCAACCTTTCCCCCCTCAACAGGTTCCTACGAGTCATCCATACCCTCCCCCATCACAGCATCGTGGGAACTTTCCCCAAGGCCAGTTCCAACAACCACCACTCAATGTGTACCCTCCGTCTCAGCGACAACAGGCCATGATGCCTCCAACCTCACAAATACCCCCAAAGCCGAAACAGCCCATTCCGGACTTACTAGACTCACCCTTAGATGTGACATTGCCATCTCAGAGCGGACAATCAGCTCCGATTCCAGCACCGCCCATACCACCAAATCCAGAGAAGGACGCTCTTCTCACAGCGCTCTCCTCCACGCTAGTCGCCCAGCTACGGCAGAACATCACCGATAACATTAACGCTATTGCTCCACTGCAGGCACAACAACAGGCGCTCCGGGAAGCACATTCCCGCCTCCAGTCAGAACTCGATCAGCTGCAGCAATTGGACGCTGCTTTAGCATCGAACGAGCACATCCTCCGTGACGCCATGGTGGAAGCGGACCGTGTCATGGAAGATGCCCGCACCCGCAAAGTGCCAGACGTCGATGAGGTGCTGGTCGCGCCATTCGTCGTAGGGGGGCAATTGTATATCCTCTGCGCTGAGGAGCGAGCCTGTGCCGACGCCCTGTTCGTGCTAGGTCGAGCATTGGATAAAGGTCGCGTAGGCACTGACGTGTTCATCAAGGTCAGGCCTGCCCTCTTCTTTCCGTTGATGCCAGATAAGAGTTTCTGACGAATGCAATAGCAAACACGGAGTTTGGCTCGCGAGCAGTTTCTGAAGAAGGCCCTGATCAAAAAGATCTCCAAGGGTATGGCATTAGACGAGTACCAGATGCGTTGATGAAGTGACTTTTGATCGGCAGCGGAAGTGGCTCCGGCTAGTCCAAGGGCCCTCTCTGCGGTTCTGCAGTCAGTCAGCCGCTCGCATCGACTTGGCTCCCGAATAACTACTCCGTAGATGAACCAATGAATATTGCTTCGCCAGCTACTGACCTCATATCGACCATGCAGCCACCATCCAGGGTGAAGGTGCTTTTGCAATATTGATTGTGGAAAGAACCAGGAAGACTCTACATGCATATGGTACCGATTCTTCTCACAGCTAATCAAGTACCATACTACAAGGTACGACATGATATTATTGATCTCTCGGGTCGGAACAACTCCGAAGGGCATGGCGCAAAGCGTGTTCCGCCAATGTAGCAATAGTAGGTTAGCCCAAATGACTAATTGCTTCAGATATGACATTGCCACAGGAAGAGCTTTAGGGTTATGGACCATTTCACAGCAGAATTTCAGTTTGTCAGGAGCGAAAGCCCACAAGGCAGAGTCCATTATGTCCGACTCAAACTACCGAGAGAGTACATCCATGAATGAAGAAAAAACTACAACCAATCCAGTTCCCAATCTAGCGAACCGATCGACTGCCTTGGGATTCAGACTTTTGCTAATGTATATTGGAGGGCGTTCTCTGCCGTTCCGTTCCCACTCCTAAATGAGGAGCACTGATTTGCCAGGAAAACAAAATGCCAGATCTTGTATCAAGATCTATCGTGCAGAGCGTGTGGCGCTTGAAGTTTTTGGCGCACGCCTTTGGGGGATATCGTAATGAAAACAGGAAAGGATTCAACACCAGAAGCAATGTAGGAAAAAGGACAAAGTTTTGGAAACGCCGTGGCCAAATGCTGGTTTGGGTCTTTGCCAAATAGCGTGTGCCCAAGAAGGTAAGGGGGGGTGCCGCCAAAGCGGGGAGATCTACTCCTCAATGGCGTGGGCGAGCTCAGGTAGGTCCAGGCTCGCCTTCAAGGCTTTCCGGTACTCGCGCTCGATGCCGTGCTTGACGGCGTCGAGGACGGTGTCGACGGTCGCCTTCGGGGTGAAGCGAGGCTTGGTGCCCGCCTCGAACACGCCCGTCTTGACGAGGATCGAGTACCAGTTGTTCTCGCTGTGCTGGTCGTACTCGTTGGTGCCGCGGATGTCGGACTCGGGCGTGTCGCCGACGAAGTAGACGGTGTCGGGCGGCGAGTCGATGCCGTGCGTGTCCTTCCGCCACTGTTGTAGCAGACGGGTCGCGAACTGGAATGTGCCAATCTGGGGCTTGCCAAAGGCAGTGGTCTCGAGGTTCTTGCCGGTCACGGCCTTGAACATGGCCTCTAACGAGACGCGGAGGGCACCCATGCCGATGCGAGTTAGGTCGTGGGAAGCGCTCCAGACGACGTCGTTGTGGGAGAAGAAGACTGGCGGGCCCTCGTCAAAGGTTTCTGAGCGGGTGCCGAGACGTCCATTCTTGGACATCAAAAGGTCGAGGATGATTTGCTGGTCCGAGGCCCAGTCACGGGAATCGGCAAACACGAAAATAGCCTCAATCTCGACTTTGGCAAAATTGCGGGCGCGCGAGTTCTCGTATTCCTCCTTGGTCAGCTTACGGAATGGCGTGGTGTCTTGGTTGTCTTTGATGATGTCGCCAGGGGTGACCACGTCCTTGAAACCGTAGCCCTCGGCGACATGCCGGCACTTCTCGCCCTCGCCGCCAACGACAAGGACGGTCTTGTACCGCTCGGCCATCTCCCGCATTGGGGTGTGGCCGCAGATGAACTGGCCAGGCGAGACTTCCATCTCGAGCTGCTTGCTGAGCTGGATACACCGTTCCTTCTCAGTCTTGCCGCCGCCATTGGTGACGAAAATGTAGGGGCTAGGAAGAGTTAGTTCAGGCCTTCTGAGATAGGAGGACTTCTACTTACACCTTGACGCCGTACGGGTTCTGGCCGTTTAGCCACTTCATGGCCTCGATGGCTTCTGGGATCGGCCGGCCACCGCGGATGAGGACACCGTCAATATCGAAGGCATAGGCGTACTTGTCAGTAACCATCGTCTCGGGCGGTGTCGGCGGTGTGCCGGGGATTTCTGCGGCCTCGATCTCGTGGCGTGCCGCTTCGAAGGCCTGGGCGACCTCGTTCGCCCCTGAGGGAGCCATAAGGTGCTTCGGGGGGACAACGACCACGGGGCCCTTGGAGAGTTGCTCCGCAGAGGCCTTGTTCGAGCTGAGGCGGCGCATGCCCTCGTTAGGGACAATGAGTGATGCAGGAGCCATGATGGAGTTGGAGGAAGTATTCGTGTGAGAGATGGTGGAGATGATGGAAGATGAACTGTGCAGAGAGCACGGGTTAAGTAGGGTCGGTCGGGTCTCTGGAGTCAACCTGCGGATATTGAAATGGGTTTGCGGGGTGATAAGTGGGTATAGTGGAGAACGGGGCAAAATCGGCTGCTTCACGTTTGCGGTAGGATAGTGCTGGCAGCCAAGGAGGCTGTGGCCCGTTATATAGTTTCGGACGCGGGAACGATGCTACCTGGTGCAGCTGGGCGAGCAACTCGTCATGACCCAAAGCAGGCTACGGGGGCATAGTAACAGGGTACATTACAGTGCATATGAGGGCGGCGTCGAAGTTGAAGAAGTGGGTGGCCATGGAGGCCTCATTCGGACCCTGAAACGGGGCTTTGCTAGCGCGGCGAGCTTATCATCGAGGCAAGCGGGTGGGCCGTTTGGCGTCATTGTGCTGAGCGCTGCAGGCGGTTGCGAAGGGGTCCGCGCCGGCATGACGATCGCGGTGAAGGAGTTTTGAGTTGAGATCTCGCCCATCTGGCATGTGCCTGGAGTTGTGCGCGCAGTCGCCGCCGTGATTCGCTCTCCCGACGGCACACGTCGCGGCTGGAATGGCCTCTCTCCGCGGGCATCTCGAGCGTGGCGGGGTAACGGCGGCCGCGCAGTATCTGCCATTCTGCCTCGCTGTCTTCCATTCCACGCACCAGCGGCATATCGCCCGGCGCCGCGTCCTGTTGCACCACCAGCCGCCACAGCGCTGGACGATGGCGACAGCGGCAGCAGCGGTGCGCCTCCGGCATGGACGCCTCTTGGGCGAGGGGCCTGCCGAGCATGAAGTCATCCTCTCTCGCCTCGATGCCTGCTTCGGTGCCAGCGTGGCTCGCCGGCAAATCATGGCGCGCACACGAGGGGCACTGCGATTCCTTCAAAATGGCGACTCCATCGACACGGATCGCCGATAGTCCTGCCACTTCCACGACCGCCTCGAGAACTTCCCGGGCTGGCCTGGGTCCCGTCGACGCTCATCGATTCGGCCAGTTCCGAGACCCTTTTTCTTGCGAATCGTTACTGGCTCTGGTGTCAGTCTGCGGCTCAACCGCTCTCGTCTCGTTGTGCCAACCATGGATCGTCGCGAGCGGGCACAAGGCCGTCACCAGCCTCCACCCATCCATCTAGGGCTCTTGCTCCGGGTCCACGGCCGAGAGCCCTCCAGCCTGCGCTTCAGCCCGCTGCCCACGCAAAGATAGCCGACTTTTGGAGTGCGTTCGAGTCTGACAACAGCGGGTGGCTTGCTCCATGCGGGAGCCTTGCCACCATGATCGCTACGCTGCGTGCAGCCAGACGCGCCATGCCGCATCTTGCGCCTGTCCGAGGCCTGCCTGACGCTGTCAGACTTCCTTATCGCAGCACATCACATGTTTTGGCCGCGCCCGCAGAGGGCTCCGTAATCCCAGCCGCTCGCTCATGCCGCCGGAGTATGGAGTGCAGCCTGTTTGCAGCAGCCTCGATAGGTTCGTTGGTGATGCAAGCAGGAACAATCCCTACTTTGGTATCCCGCCAGACCCGTCAGCGTGGAATCAACATCATTGTGCATTATCAAATCACATCAGCCCTGGCCATGTCGTGTCACGCTGCAACGAGCCGTGTGAAGATCCCACTCGTCCTGTCGTCCAGCTTTGCAACACTTCCCATTTCGGAAGGTTATACATCGTCTGCTACGTCGGAGTGCAGCGGGAATTGTTTGATCTGGTCGTTGGTCGCATATTGCCCCAGATTGTTGACATTCACGCCTGCATGAGGGCCTTATGCATATCCCCAGACTATCCTTCTCTTGCCCCAAGCCGCAAGTCAGCTCTCGCGGGGATATTTTCTGTTTGTCGGGCTCCGGAGAAGTTACAGTGGAGTCTTCTTGGTTGCGCCGAGCTATTGGAGTACTGAGTGGATCCCTGGTATGTACACCGCTTGGCTGGCCTGGCAGAAGGATGAGATATTCCAAGGAAGCAGTCCATGTGAATGTGCAATAAATAGATGCTCTCCAAACATATCAGGGAGATCGTCGTGCCATCTTAAAACTCAAAGGAAGAGCGCTCAGCAAGTTGAACGCACTATTGAGAAGACTAACATGCGTACTGGACAGAAGTATAGTGTTATTCACTTCTCACTTCGGCCCTACCTAGTAAAGCTTGCAGTATTGCGACCACTCGATGGTCTGAAGGCGTCGCTCGTGACTTGATCCTACGGAATCATAATCGTAAGACCGACCCATCTTTCTTTGTGGTGCTAATGGAGGCGTGAAGTCTAGCAACTCTCTGCACTACCGTTAGCCGGCAGCATCCTCGAGGTTAGGAGCGCCGAATTCACTAGGATATTGTCAAGATGCCCAAGTGGAAGGAGGCGGAGCACCGCAGGACTGCTGCGAACTTCTTGGAAGTGCAGCTTACAGCTGTCACTGATGAGCGCCCGAGGATCTCGTACATACCACGGTAGAGAAAAGAACATGTGAGGTAAGATGCAGTCCAACGGTGAGCCACGTGGGAGCTGTTGCGGTGAGTTGCTTGGCCGGTTGCTGCAATCATGTCCCTTTACGCTTACCTTCGATCCACTTTCTTATCCGATGGCTATCGACTTCCTGTGAGGCATTACTTTACTAAGGAAGTATCGGCAAGCGCGCGTGAGGCGAAGGGCAGACCCGAAACGAGAAAGCGAACCAATGGTGCATGGCGTTGAGTATGCAGGGAAAATAGGTGGAGAAGCGTACAGACCGGACGTTCCGACGCGGAATGTGAGGTACTCCAGCATCCCAGAGAATGACAAGGTCCCCTTTTTTCTTGCAGATATGCAATAGGACCAACAGAGACAGCCGAGGGCAAATTCTTTCATCGGAAATTGCACTGCTGAGCTGGTTGTGGCGCTCAGGGACCTAACAATTCCCACCTCGAGTGATATAGAGCGATGAAAGCACACCCTCGGTCATAGGGTAAGAACCAGAAACATGGATTGAGATGTAATGGGTCGCGTAGAACAGTATCTGAAAGAATGCGAGTCAAATGTAGATTGACGTTGAGAGTGTTACGGGGCGCTCGTCGGCGACGGAAGGCGCGATGCCCTTGACGACCTCTCTTCATCCCATCACGACAACCCGCCGTCTTCAACGCCCGACGTCCTAGCAGCACGCGACAACATGAATTGGACAGGCGGTCGTCTACAAAGACACTCGAAAAATGCCGGCGGCGGAGTGGCTAGTCGCCAGAAACAGCATTTCGCAAAGATCCGCAGTCAGCTCCAGAATGGACTCCATCCTGGACAGCTACCTTTCAGACCAAGCTTTTTTCCAGACGATGGCGCTAGCCTTGGTAGCAGACTGCCGCCTTTTACCGATAGGACATCACGACACGTCGGCCATTCAAGAAAGCACAAGAGAAGGGCCCATCGAAATCTCGCGAGTGTTGACAGGGACATTGTTGAAGCAGAACACTCGAATACCAATGTGTCGCAATCTGCTAGTCATGTATCTAATGCAGTTGATGGTAAGTGTTCTTGAGAAATGACCTCGATCGGCCGTAGCTCACATGATCAAGGCGACTCAGCGGAGAAAGGAAAGATGAAGATGAAACGGCGATCTGCGCATACGCTGCTCGAGGACGATCGACTAGAAGCCAGCAGGAAAAGGCTACTGGAGCGGCGGGATTGGCTTGGGCTCCAGTCGTCACGTCCGGTTCACATGAAATTTCGAACACGCGCAGAGAAGGATAAGATTGGGAAACGACGAATGATTGTCGGCGCCTCCTCGAGAGGACATGCTCCGAAGGATACAAGAAACCCTATGCTGCCGGCTCAAGGACTGAGAGATGGACATAGCAGACTCGACCTGGCGCCTGCCCACGATTTGCTCGAGGATCATCTTAGAGTGCGTATCGGCACTAATGCTTTTTTTAGCCAAAGATCATCGACTCTTGTTCGAGATCCCCCACGTCGAGAATCATCTGACACCATGCTGTTTGATACTGCAGTGGACGCAGACACCACTCTCGCGGTAGAGGGTTCGCGAGAGCGCTCCTATGAGCAGCATTGGTCCGCGGGAACCAGCTACGATGGAGAACACGAAACAGCGTTGGAATATGAAAACCGCCAATCTGCGAATGACTTGGTCGGTTCACTCCACGCGCAGCGAGAAGAGGCAGAGGGCAATTTACCCGAGCCAGGCGGTATAGACGAGAAGCTAACTAGTTACCTCCCTCACGAACCCGCACTGAAGGGTCGCGTTATTTTCCAGTCAGTTGCACCAGCTTCTTCAGGATCCGATCAGCCAGCATCCCACGTGCCGATAGATACGAATAACTGTCCTTCCGAGGCGGCTGCCCCGGACGGGCTTGAGGGGGGAGTGAGCCAGGAAATTGATGCTGACGATCAAGATCCGCAGGAACGCAAGATCGTCGATGAGACACCCTGGAAACAGTTTTTGGAGATCTCAGGTGACGAGCAGAGCCATTCGTCTACAAGTGGTGTGTCCGAAAGGGCTTGCCTGCATGGGTCCGAAGCATCCATCAGAGGCCACAACGACGCCGAGGGAAACTCTGTTGCTGACATGACCGCATCTAGACGAGCTCCAAGAGACAGCCAAGAGGATGCAGCTACCTGGGTCATCGCACGACATATCAATGGCAAGACTATACAAGAATACACGACCTTTGAGAGACGCGCAAGAGCTTTGGTAGATGATGTAAAGGAGAATGAGAATCGCCAATGGCAGGATTTCGTCATCGGAAGTCGAGGCAGTTCCGCGTCTGATAGTGCGCATGATACTATTATGGGTGACAAGCAGCACTCCCCTGTACATTCTGCAAGAGGAACGAGCATGAGGGCTTTGTGCTCACCCAAAGTTCAAGCTACATCAACTAGCTCGATTTCTGCACCATCAAGGTCAGCCGCTTCGCCCCGCTTACGCAGAATACAGGCTGGATGGGGCCAAAGTGAGGAGGCTAGGCTTCGCCCTGCAGACCTTGCATCGAGTTCGCTATACAATAATATCTCGTTTACGATGGACTCACCGGTCGCTGCAGCTTACTCCAACGGAGGACCAACGAACTATGCGAATTCGGATGTGAGCATGGCGGAATCTGGCTCAGCCTATGAGAAGATGGAAAGTGATTGACGTATTACGTGGAGTCTCTGCGGCGATGATGAAAGAATGGCTTACTAATTGGTTGGTGCATTATCGAGATCTGAAGAGATGAGGCTTCCATTCTTGGCTCAGCAGGTCTCTTGGAGTCTAGACCAGCCATACGAATAAGTCGGCTTGCTGCACATTCGGCAAGGCGGATTAATACATTCTCGAGCCGAAGGACGTGAGATTCTGGCGCAATGCGGCTTGAGTCGAGGAGGGAGGATTCCAGCATTGTGCCCCTTTCTATAATCGAAGGGTGGATGGTTCGTAAAACGGAGACGATGGAGTGAATGGTACACATCGTGCTTTATTTTCTTTACTGTATCTTTCACTAGCCGTTTCGAAAACAATCCTCGATGATCCCATGGACATTTTCCCGCGCTGTTTCGTGCATACATTGCTTTCAGTCAGTGCGTGCCCCGACGCCCCCAGGCCCCCTGGAGTGGATCGCGACATCCTGTCAGCAATCCTCCACATCCTGCCGTGAGTTGTTGTTGAGGCCCTCAGCCGACTCTCGACTCGGCTCCTGACTGGCAGCATGCAAGGAGGGAGGCAACAGCATCTCAGCTCATGCACGCCGAATTCATTTCGGACAACGAACCCTTTTTCGCGCATGCAGTGCGTCTCGACGGCGAGCCGGCGCCGAAGACGCGTTCTGTTCCGTTCCGGGAACGAGGGCGAGCAGCAATATGAAGCTCTCGAATAGCGATAATGGTCGACTCGCAGACGGCAGGCGCAGATGCAGGGCAGGCCTCGCCTGAACCCATATCTCAGTTGTGGCGTGATGAGGCCAGCGTTTCCGTCTGTGCGATGCTGCAAGACATCCGGCACTTTGGTTCTTTCCCAGCGTTTCACAGGACACTGACGTTTTTGGCGATTAGGGCATCAGGCGTTCGCATGACGGCTAGAGCACGCAGCACCGCACGCACGCACGCACGCACCCGGCAAGCCATGCTCTCTACGTGAGATTTATACCGGGGAAGGTGACACTGGATTCCGTAGGTAGGCGCTCTTGTGCTCTTGGATGGAGAACCCGGTCGAGCCGGCGCGTGGCATGGGTTGGAGACAGATTGCATGAAACGCGCTGCAAATTCGATTCAGAAGAATGCTCCGATCGGGGATCGAAGGGTGAAGGTGATGCCAGCGCAGAGCGAGGGGCCGTGCGGCGCGAGGGTTCAAATTAGAGGGTGGCGTAGGATACGGAAGAAAGCAATTCGGATTGTCATGGAGGACTGTGGGACAAGGGCGGCGCTGGCATTGGCGCCGCGGAGAGGGAATGTGTATTGGGGCGAGGACTCCGGAATGACCGACGATGGCAAGAACAAGAGCAGAGGCAAAGGCAAACAGCTGCGTACACAGTGCGTGACGAAACAGCACTGTGACTGTCGGGAAGGATACAGGAGACGCCTATTGGCGAGGCACAAGAGAAAGCAGCCATTGGGCGGCTCTTCGTACGGGCAGCGAAGATATCACACCGCTCCCGAGTCAGCTGACGATGTATTGCTCCCTCACCACCGCAAAACCCAGGCGATACCGGGCGCGACAGGCTCCCAAGAGGGGCATTTTCTTGCGATTGGGCGGCGGGGCGTGCTTGACTTGGGGAGATTGTGGGGAGCCCGGGGTCTGATTCGCGCGCGCAACGTTCAGGGGCTCAGCTTCCAGCTTGCCTGCTTCTGTCTCTCTTCTGGAAGCCTCGGATGAGGGGTCGGGTGCGCTGTGCTGTGATTGTTTGCTGAGCGCGGAGGCACGCGACTGGGTGCATATTGGTGCAGCTGCAGCCGGAGGCCTCGCTCTCAGCGGCCACACAGCACGCCGCACCGGCAGAGACGTCCGGCAGCGTGCAGCATCGCAGCTCGGAATGCCCTATTCGCCCTTGACAGCAGAAGGGAGCTCGTGGCCGGCGTCGTTGTGGCACTGATGGGCGCCAAAGGGCCGAAGGAGGCGCGGCGGCATCCCACACCCCGGGAGCGGATTCAGACGGCACACGAGCGATCGCGCGTGGGATGGACAGGGCTGGCATGGAGATCATCGAGCTAAACCAAACGGGTGGATGTTTCAGGCCAGGGCGGTGATGACGAGGTGTCGCTCAGCCGGCCACGTGTGGAGTTGCGGTCTTGACTTGCGGCGGCTGCTGGTGGCCGCGGGCTGTGACTGTGACTGCGAGCCTCCTCCTATCGCTGCGTGCCTGGAGGATGCGCGCCTGGAGGCCCTCAGGATGCGGTGGAGCCAGGCCCATCTCGTGTTGCTGGGCTGGGCAGGCTGGCCGTGATCTGGCACTCGAGGCCGCACGGCCCGGTGCTATTTGTGGCCCGAAGCGCAGCGCAGTGGAGATGGTCCGACAACAAGGCTGAGAGCCCCAATCTCACGGCAGCAGGCCTGCCCCCGCTGCCTGCCAGCCCTGCGCGTCCTGCGCGTCCTGCAGTCCTGCGAGTCGCGATGTGCCGGAAGCGTCGGCGGCGGAGAAGCTGCTCGCTGGAGGAGCCGCTGGCCAATCGCGCAGCACTCGCCGGCCTCATTGTGCGACCTGTCACTTTCTTTCGGGCGCGAGGCAGTGTGAGTCGGCGGGCTCACCGATCAGTCGATGCTGCGGGCAGCTGCGCGGTCTGCCTCAGCTGGCGGCGACGTGTTGCTTTGGGCGAGCCGCAGGCCATGTTCAGGCGATATCGCATCGCGGGCGGGCGCTGGGCAGCGTCTGGAGCGCGGTGGAGATGTGCTGTGGTGGAGCCCGAGCAGAGCAGCATGACGTCTGGCCGTTGGACCGTGACTTCCCGCTGGCTTGAAACAAGCGTGCCTGCCCCTTTCGCGGGTTCCAGCACGCTGGGTGGCCCTCTTCGCCCAACTACGGCAGCCCGGCGCCAGCATCGCGCTCCACGCACGGCGGGGCTGGGACCGTCGGGCTCAAGGCGCTCGCCACGCCCAGCGGCCGTCGCGGTGGTGGTCGCGGGCGCCGGGCTGGATGATGAGTCGTCACAGCAGCGGGTACCGCCAGGGATGGGCTGCTCGCTAGGCCGGGGGCCGCTGCCTCGCCGTTGTCGTCTGGGGGCAGTCGTCCGCGCAGCTGGCCTTGCTAGTCCTTTTTTTCCTCCCGACGCCCATTCCCCAAGTACCTCCCGCGCCCCAATTCGACTCACCTCTGGCCTCACTGCTGCCATTACTCCCACGACGCACACGCTCTCTGCGCCCGCACCCGCCAGCCGCTGTGACAGCCCAGAGCAGCGCTGCATTGTTGCCCTTCTCTTTGACAGCTGGCCCGGCGCTCGCCGTCTCCTCCCTTCCCCACGCCTGCATCGTCTGCATCGTGTGCGCCGCTTTGCCCGAACGAGCGGCCCTCACTGCGAGCTTCCTGCACACCCTCGTCCGCCCAGGCCCTGCCGACGCAAACAATCGCATTACCCGGCGCATCGTACATCTCGCCCATTCAGCTGACCGCCTGCATTGTTCCGCGCTTGAGGCGCGCAACTGCCACCGCGGCCCGCCGTCTGCCTTGTCCAGATCCGACGATGCTCCAGTAAACACACGCCTCGACACCTGCCAGCCTGCAGCTGTCCTCTATAACCTCGCGCTCGCCCTCCACCAGGCCCCGCGCCTCGCAGAATCGCGTTTGCTCCCACGGACCATGTCGTTATAGCTGCCGTCCCACCGAGGCCTTGCCTATTGTGACAGCTATGAGCTCTCCCAGTCTGTCTGCGCGCTCCTCCGAGCTGCACCTCAATGGCGATGCCCGCGCGACACGTCCGCGTATCCCCTCTCCCCAGCGTTCCTTTGGGCGCATGTCCTCAAAACACTTCGTCATTACCTCGATCCCCCTCACAGTCACACCCGCTTCCGCCAGAAGCAACTCTTCCTCACGCAACAGTCCTGCCTCCACAGCCTCCCAAATGGCAGCCAGCAGCTCCCTCCAGTCCACGCCCGAGGGCCTGGTCCCGGTCTCCCAACCACTCGCAACCCCGGCACCGCTGTCCCTTGGAGAATCATATATGCATCCTCCAGCTTCGACTCCTCCTGCTTCGTCACCCTCTGCCATGGCCGTAGCCCTCGGGAAAGGCCCCAGCCTGATACGGAGGGTATCTCGCGGAGCGCAAGGGATACCGAACCGGTTTCGACGCCACGGTCACCGTGACAGCAGTTGTGGGCCAGTCATTATGCGGCGCCGCAGCGACAGCAGAGGCGTCGCGGACACCTACATGGACATCTCTGACCTCGAGCTCGGTGACCTGGATAACGAGGAGGCCGTGGAGGACCTTGCACACGCCGCCCAGGATCCACATAACGCGCTTGGAATTACTGCTGGCCGGCCAAGCGTCACATCGGCACCCGACCCGGGCGTCGTGGCCCCGATCCGCTCTTCCCTCTTGCAACAAGGCACAACACTCACCAAAGTACACAAGGGCAAAGAAAAGAAAATCAAATTTCGAATGGACTTTGAGTCCGCAAAAGTCTGCTGGGATTCCGCGCGGTTGTCGAAGCAGTTTTACATCGATGATGTTCGAGACTTCCGCATTGGTCGCGAGGCCCGGAACTACCGCGAAGAAAACGGCATCGCCGAAAAATACGAGCCCCTGTGGTTTACAATCATCTACGCAGACAGCCGGTCAAAGGCGCGACCTCCTAAGCATCTGCATCTGATAGCTCCAACGCCTGGGATCTTCGATCTCTGGATCAACACCTTGGAGCTGGTCTCGCGAAGTCGACTCAACATGATGGCAGGGTTGGTTGACGCGACCGAGAAAAGCGCCAAGTCGTTCTGGCGACACGCGATGGATAAAAAGTTTGATAGAGCTGAGCATGCCGAGGAAGACGAAACCATGGATTTGCAGGGGGTGCTGAAGCTTTGCCGAAGCCTGCACATCAACACTTCCGAAAACTCCATTCGTAGCCACTTCGACAAGGCAGTCAGTGAGAATTCACGTGTTCTGACGCAGGCTCAATTCTTGATGTTTGTGAAAAGGCTCAAGGAGCGCCAAGATATCAAGAAAATCTACAAAGAGATCAAGGCGAACAGTCCGACCGGCCTCGTCGATAAAAGTGCATTCCTGGCCTTCCTGAAGCACTCTCAGGGAGTCGATGTGCAAGCTGACCTGGAACATTGGACCAACGTCTTTGAGAAGTACGCCCGCGCGTCGAAACCAAAAGCAACAGTATCGCCGCAGCTTAGCAGCGAGTCTATGTTTCTTACAATAAGTTCGCAAGCGTTCCAGGCGTTTCTCTCGTCCACTCACAATTCCACATACGCGCCTGCGAGTCCGGAGCCCAAGTTTGACCGTCCCCTCAATGAATACTTTATATCTAGCTCTCACAACACGTATCTGCTCGGGCGCCAAGTTGCTGGTGAGTCAAGCACTGAGGCTTACATCACCGCTCTGCAGAAGGGCTGCCGATGCGTCGAGGTCGACTGCTGGGATGGCAGTGACGGGAAGCCCGTTGTCATGCACGGCCGCACGCTTACCAAAAGCATTCCGTTTCTTGACACTATCAAAGTCATCGCCAAGTACGCTTTCGTCTCGTCTCCCTATCCAGTCATCATCTCGCTGGAAGTTCATTGCAATCCTGCCCAGCAAGAGATCATGACACAGAACATGAAGACCGAGTTTGGAGACGCGCTTTTGCTGGATCCTTTGGATGATTCGAAGACACTGCCATCACCCGAGGCATTGAAAGGAAAAATCCTCATCAAAGTCAAGGCCGCTGCTGAAGATACCGATGACGCCACCATCATAAATGATCTTACGACTCAACGGCGGCAGCGGAGTTTCAGCTCTCCGTTCTCACGACCAACGGTGTTTGCAGACCAAGGCCAGATGTTGTATAGTCCGCAATCAATAAGTCCTCCGGAAAAGCCTGGCTTTCTTTGGGCATCGCCCAGGACCTCGACAACTTCAACTGCGGGCACCACCACTACGACTCCAGGCACAGTAGGAAGCATCAGCTGCAGCTCAGACGAAAGCGATACTCCACATGTCCCCACACCAGCAGGAAAAAAGAAGAAGAAGAACACTAGCAAAATCACAAAGGTATTAGGCGATCTTGGTGTCTACACCCGAGGTATAAAATTCTCCGACTTCACTGGCCAGGATGCAAATACCTACAACCACGTTTTCTCCTTTGCCGAGCGAACTTTCGACAGGCTATGCAAGGCCGACAGCGACAGCAAAAGACTAATCGAGGAGCACAACATGCGCTGCTTAATGCGCGTGTATCCCTCTGGTCATCGCATCTATTCCTCAAACTTCGATCCCACCAAGTTCTGGCGACGTGGTGTTCAGATGGCGGCTCTCAACTGGCAGACCTATGATGTTCCTCAGCAACTCAATGAGGCCATGTTCGCTGCCGGCAACGACCGACTAGGATATGTTCTCAAGCCTGATGAGCTTCGACCTGGCCACTTCCCTGCCAAGGGGGCCAGCAAAACGCCGAAGAAGCTCGTCAAGTTCACCGTGGACAGAATCACTGCCCAACAACTTCCTCGCCCTAGTGGTCTCAGCTCAGACTCGAACATTAACCCGTACATCGAATTCGAAATGCACTTCGCCGAAGACAAGGGACGAGGAATTGCTACCTGCGAAGGCGGCGAGGACGCCTCTGATAGACGTGGCATATCAGGGATCGGAGAGCCGGTCCGTGTTCGCACTATCACTGCCCCGGGCAATGGCTATGATCCGGAGTGGCAAGACACCATCACGATGAGCTGTGAGACCAGGTATCCAAGCCTCGTTTTCGTTCGTTGGACCGTTTACAATTCACTCGACGGGCGCAACAAAGGAGGGATAGCCCTTGCCACCTTCACCGCAAAGCTAAGTAGTCTGCAACAAGGCTACCGCCATCTTCCGCTATACGACGTCAGCGGCGAGCAGTATCTATTCTCGACACTCTTTTGCCGCATCAAGAAAGAGGACCACGTCTTAGTTGTTGAGCCTCAGGCCCCAATCGAACGCATATTGACCAGCCCAGGGAATATGGATCCCTTGGAGCTGCCAAAGGATGGTGAAAGAGCCTCTCGAGGCATCCTCAAGAAGTTACTCACGCGCACGCCTAGCGACCGCAAACAGCGAAAGGAGAGCGAGTCGAAAGAAAGAAACGGATCACGCTTCAGCCGCAGCAGCACGATCGAACGACAATAACGCCACACAACCCTTCCGCCCCATCTCACGACAAAACAGTTCTTGTATCATATTCCCTCGTACCAGCGACCTTTTAGAATTTCCTTTGTTTTTCGGATTTGGTGTTATTCGGAGTTCCACAATCACATATCACAGGGGCGGCTTTTTGTAACCATACCACGGATGCTTTTTCTGAGGTTTGCGCACTCGCTATGACTTTATACCCCAGTAATACTCGCATGGATCTTCATTTTGGGCTTAATTGTGTTTTTGGGAATCAGGAGTCGTGAGCAGCACATTGTCGACTACCAAGGGGAAGGGAGTTTCTATTTATTTTCCTGATGTCCATCACGGACCACGGAAACTATAGACTGTTCGCGCCTACAGTGGCATCACTCATTTTCCTTTCCATCGATCTATTTCTTTCAATCTCGAAGCTTGGGCTCGGGGCTCATTAGGGGGGCAGGATTTTCAGTTCTTTGGGTGTGCGGGGTTCACGCTGGTTCGTTTTTTGTTTGTTAAGCCTTTCCATGTATGCTGGCATCTGAGAGTGGAATCTGCATAGCTTGTCTCACTGTCCTTATGGGGGCTGTAGTGCTCTCTGCAGCCAGACCTGCGGGCGAGGCTGACTCTTGGCTGGACTGAGGATGAGGAATTAGATACAATCAAACCCCGTTCATTGTCACGGCGGAAAAGGCCTGATGATCACCCGCCACACTCGAACCAACCCTTAGCCTTGTGGCGATGCGATATTCGACGATCTGAGGGACGCCTAACAATCGCAGCCGTTCGATTTCGAACCCCAATCCTTGCCAATCTAATCCCTCACAAAGCTCTATTCTAGTCCTCGTGCTCAGCCTCACGAACTCCACTGCTCACTCTTATCTCGCTGACCATGCCGGGAGTAGGCATCAAACAGCCACCGTCCCTATGCGGGAACAATCGCCGCGCGATACGAGCATCAACACGATACGAAACTCGACACGGGAGCCGGGGGGCTGGGGTGGTGGTGGTACGTGCCTCCGATCAAAGCAAAAAAACGATGACGAGGCAACGACTAGCCGCTATTCGTAAAAGGGGCCGTGCTGACGCGGCAATGGCAGGCTGCAGCGAGGCAAACGAACGACGTGCGTCCACTCTGCTCAGAACTGGTCGGATGGTTGTGCCGGCATGGCATGGACATGGATATGGCCACCCGGGCAAGCCCTCCAGCAAGCACGATTCGATATTCCCAACATTCCCGCATTAGCTCAACCCCCTTGCCAGACCCCTGGACCCTGCGTGCATCGCGAACTGGAGTTCAGCGCGGTTGCGCGCAAAGGTGAGGAGGTGGGGTGGGGTGTGGTTGTGGTGGGGAGCTTGCAGGCAGGCATGCATGCATCCGATAGCTTCGAGCAGCGGCGAGAATCAATTAGACTTCGTGCAGGCAAGCCCATGCAATAACACTGGGAGCGAAGCTTTGATCCTGGCTCCCTGTTGCGAAATATGTATGCAATCCTTTCATGCACCCCGCACTGCTGTGCAGCCCCGGCAAGCCGCAGCAAGCACGCAAAAGAGGGGGCCAATTGTGGGCGCGAGATGGGACGGGCGGGGAGGGATCAGCCGGGTGGGCCCGCGAGGGTGTGCTGGTGGTATATTTTGGCTGGGTTGGTCGGTTCGCCTCACTTTCTCAGGTGGTGAGGTGCGTGTGCAGAGGTGGGCTGAGAGGGCCGGAAGTGGGTCCGTGAGAGGGATTTTGATGGATGGGATGGGGTTGTGAGGTGGAGGCGGTTGATTGGCGAGGCATGGGATACTCCTTCTAGGCTGGGTGGAGGGTGTGCGTCACGTAATTGTCCTCCTGGGCACGAAATTTGTAGCATACTTTGGTTGGTGGTTTCATGCAGTGAGACTTTGGTATGATATGTGGTCTCTTTGCAGGTCTCGGTGGCACACGCTTTGGGTGGCGCGGTTCCACTGCCTAGGTACGCCAGGATACCTAGGTATGTGTTCAGACGACGGAGGTAGTCATGTATACCTAGTCAAGAAAGTGAGAAGGGGCAAGAGTGGAGCTTCGTCGGAGGATTTGGATCGAGTTCATGGATACACCCTCTTGCCGTGATGGTCCTTCCCAGTATAGTGGCCTCGGACTGTCTGAAACGCCGGCGAGGTTCAAGGGCTTTCAAATTTAGTTGTTGAGTTGAACGAGTTCAAGAAACATCCAGGTACTCGGTATCAGATATCAGTCCTTCGGAGAGTATCTGTTTCGGCGGGAGATTGTTTCCAGGGGCGGCGGTGGGTAAAAGAAGGACTGGCAGGGAGATGACTTACTCGCCTACCCGATACCTAAGAACAGCACTTCCCTGGGAGCATGAGAGCGGGTTCTTGGATTCCGGATGAAGTCTCATGGCTCGCTGCTACTAATTAGCTGAAGGAGGTACGGCATCAAATGACTAAAGATATCAATTTGTTGAAATGAGTCCTTTTATTATGGACTTTGGGTGGCCATCGGTGGTGTACTAGCACTCCGTAGGATTCTTGATTCGTAGTTCGCAGTTGAATACTACGCTGTACTATTCCAGGACTGTTGTAAAAGCTGTTTGCTCGAGAGTGAACACACTGGGCGTCGAGCTCATAATCCTGGGTTGACGTCGACGGTATACTCGAGGGACTTTGTGGATTATTTGGGAGGCCGACAGCTGGACACACCACGATAACGCACCCAGGGTTGGTTAGCCCTCAAAAGCAAAATAGATACGTCCAATCACCAACGGAAACCCTCATTTGCAGCGTGTAATGTAGACAGTGCTCACGTATTCGCCTTACACGGGCATGTCGGCTATTGTATATATTCACCACGGCAAACCGTACATGGCATGGCTCTCTGAAAATTAGTGCCTCGCAGGCTGCCCGTCCGTTTTTACGATCTCTTCCCTTTTATGAGACAGAATGAAGGAGCGAGCTTTGAAGCATATAGGTAGTACGTGCGGCATATAAACACTACAGTTGATACTGCAATGGAAAATCGACAAGAGTTTCAAGAACAGAGGACGACTTTCGTAGGTTCCATGGTACCCGGGAGAGTACTAACATATAGGTCCATGCAAACTGACCTGTCACTGTACATAGGAAACGAGTATGGACACAGAATACAGTTGAATGCTACTGGATGGCAAGGTATTACTAAGTTACGACTGTATAGATACTGTAAAGCAGATGATTAAGGCGCCGCCGTCGAGGCAACGCTGTCGAAATGAGAAACTCAGCCAGTTCTGTACTTTAAAAGTGAACGATTTGAAGATTGGATGACAGTGGATGCTACCGGGAGAGATGTGTCGAGAGCTGATGGAGTATGTGAAATCGGAAGAGGCTTCAACGGATGAAGCAACGATGACTAGAGAATCTTTAGGTCTTCAGGCCAATGACAAGCTCTACAAGCTCTGCAGTGGCGATGTGCCGCCCTTGCCGGTGAATATCGCGGATAATGTGATGTCAGGGAGAACTCCTGCGAGTGATAGAAAACACCTGCATGGATGTCAAGCGTGCCAAGGCCACGCAGTAAAGCTGCCACTGCTCCAGTGCGGCTCAACTTTTGCCGCAAACCACCCACCCATCTCCAACCCCCACACTCGCATCTACACCACTCGCCGGGGATGGCCTGACGAGCTTCTACAGCTCCCTCCCTCTTCAATTCACCAGACAGGAAGACCTGTTGCCCTCCAAAGCCGGCCCGGCGCCGCGCCCCCCAAACCTTATCCCACCTTTGTCCCCCGAACTTTTTCTGCGCCTGCACACCAACCACCCAGAGCTCACCACCAAGCTCTGTAACTCATCATGGAGGACGCTTTTACGCATATGGGCAACCACCTGGTCTCCGACTCAGCCTCTACCATCAACGCCAGCACCGCGGATGATGAAAGCATCCTGGATGGAGACCTTGGCCGCAGCACCCTCACCGGCTCCAGGAGGCGGAGGGTAGACGACGACGAAGAGACTGATGTCTACGATGACGATGATATGGAAAGCATGGCTAGTATGACTGTTGACGGCATCAACGGCAAGGCAGGAGGAGCGAAGGTGGAGGAGGAGGTTGAGCTCCCCCCACATGCTTGCGCGTATGTTCTCCGCGCCCAACTCTGTGCTGAAGCAAAGCTAACATGTCCCCTTCTCTAGATACTGTGGCATCCATAACTCCAGCAGCGTTGTCAAATGCCTCTCTTGCAGCAAGTGGTTCTGCAGTGCCCGTGGCAATACATCATCATCCCACATCATCAACCACCTGGTCCGAGCGCGCCATAAGGAAGTCCAACTGCACCCTCTTTCCTCGTTGGGAGACACCGTTCTAGAATGCTACAATTGTGGAACCAAGAATGTCTTTCTTCTCGGCTTTATCCCCGCAAAATCGGATACTGTCGTGGTCTTGCTCTGCCGACAGCCTTGCGCCGCCATGCCGTCGCAGAAGGACATGAACTGGGATACCTCGCGCTGGCAACCGCTCATTGAGGACCGCTCGTTCCTGACCTGGCTTGTGTCTCCTCCCTCTGACCAGGAACAACTACGCGCTCGCCATCTTAGCCCTCAGATGATCGCCAAGTTGGAGGAACTCTGGAAGGACAATGCTAGTGCTACAATTGCAGACTTGGAAAAAGGGGCTGGCCAGGAGGACGAACTCGCTCCGGTGCTTCTCCGCTACGATGACGCCTTTCAATACCAGAATGTTTTTGGCCCGTTGGTCAAAATCGAAGCCGATTACGATCGCAAACTCAAGGAATCCCAATCCCAAGATCAACTTATTGTGCGCTGGGACATGGGTCTCAACAACAAGCACTTGGCTAGTTTCATTCTTCCGAAACTGGAGCTCGGCGATGTCAAGCTTGCGGTTGGTGATGAGATGCGCTTGCGATATACCGGGGAATTGCGACCTCACTGGGAGGGTGTAGGATATGTGATCAAGATTCCAAACAACCAGTCCGACGAAGTAACGATCGAACTTCGGACCAAGGGCGATCACAAATCCGTTCCCACCGAATGCACGCATAACTTCA